TGGCAGACCGATCCATGGTAGAAGGATAAGGAACAGGTCAAGGGGTGTTATCAAAAACTAACGAATATTCGAACGAAATGCCAGAGTGGATAGGCTTCAAGGGATAACTCTATCTATGTCCAGCGCGAGTAAATATCTCGACTCCTCATTCACAAAGGCGAAACCATCGCTTTAAATAGACACTCTCAAACGATCCCACCACGCCTCCTCCGCCTTCCTTCCATCCTCTTCATCTCCAGAATAAGCTGCATATACGACTCTTGATCTCAATTAGGCCCACGATCTCGACCGTATATTTGGATATAAGTCTGGCGATCAGCTTGGAGCGAGTAGACTCTCTACTTGGGGTATGGCCTAAACTCTGCACTCGGCCTTGGCACCGAGCCGAGAACAAAGCTGTTGCCAGCTACTAACTACTAGTTAGTTATAGTCTCGCCCAGAATTTTACTATAAAAAGTCCAGGGAAGCCACCAAAGTGGGCCTTGCACAGAAGAGCGAGTACAATTGCCAGTTACGGCATGGTCTGACTAGGCTCTGTCGGTGAACACTTGTCATTGAAATATTTAAGAGAAGCGCAGAGCATAATAATAGGATGAGATGACAATCCTATTCCCTTATCGCCCGCTCTCACCAAAGATGACCTGCTTACTATCGGATAATAGAAATGCCCAGTGTAAAACTGCCCAATGCAAGCCTCCCCACACCTCTAGCCACGAGCAGCGTCGGCTTATCGCATCACCCAAGAATATTTATGAATATTAACCCTTATTGTCGCGACTACGCCATTAACTGCTCTTCCATTTCCCCAACCCTACTTCAATCTTGGAGGACGTCGAAGTATCTTCCTAGAACAGCGAACCGTTGGCAGGCATTGTCCGGTACAGTCTTTACCGACTCCCGACTGCCGAACCCTCTGCAGTTAGGGTTAGCCGGCGGCTCTGCAACGCCGAGGTTAATGGTTAATGCCATGAAACGCAATCATATGGAGGAAACCCCGAGGAAACAAGAAATATTCAAGAGTTAAAAGTATATCGTAGGCTTAGATATCTAAACACTTTTAACAGTATCGAGACAACATACTCAATTCTCTACCTCGTCCCCCAATCTTCAATCTCTTCTGCACACCAACCAAAAGAAACGCCTACCAAGAGCATCTCACAATGCCCGCCCAAGCTGACCTCAGCGTCTCCAACCTCTTTTCTTTCAACAAGCATGTCGCCCTGGTGACTGGAGGCGCCTCTGGGCTCGGCGAGATGGCTTCGCAGGGCCTGGTGCAGAACGGCGCCCGAGTCATCATTGCGAGCCGCAAGGAAGCCGAACTGAAGAAATGCGCGGACCGATTAAACAAACTCGGTCCCGGAACATGCGAGTACATCGTTGCCGATTTGAAGGATAAGGCTGGCTGTGATTATCTGGCTACAGAGGTTAAAAAGAGAACGGATAGGTTGACGGTTTTAGTTAATAATACGGGCGTTACTTGGTGAGTGAAACCCAGGAGTGCTTTAGAGCATTTGATTGATAGGTTTTTCCTAACTGGTAATTGTAACAGGGGTGCGTCGTATGAGGACTTCCCAGAGACTGGTTGGGATAAGGTTATGGCATTGAATGTTAAGTCCATTTTCTATTGTGAGTTAAGTCCCGCCCGCATGCAGGCTATCAAAGTTTCTCTATCGTCTTGCTAACTTGGTTAACAACAGTAACCGTTGGGTAAGCCATGGCTACGACGAGGAAACCCTCTATATGGTGTATGATATTGACTGAAGATGCCGATACAGAGTCCTACCACTTCTCAAGAAAGCCGCCTCGCCGGATATGCCATCCCGTGTGATTAATATCGCATCGATGGCAGGCATTTCAACTCTCGACCCTACCGCCGCGGACGATGGAGGTCTGTCCGCACCAGGAACCGGACCATTTAGCTGTATGTTAACCTGCCTGGTCCCTGTGCTTCCAAGCCTCCTTGGTGACACTCTCATAATCCCGTACTAATATTGGACCCCTTTCTTTTTTTTTAAAATGCAGATGGTCCCTCAAAGGCGGCTTGTATCCACCTTTCCCGGCAACAATCGTCAAAGTTCGCCCCAATGAACATCATGGTGAACTGCGTGTGCCCGTAAGTGAAAGCTCCATGTTTCCCAACCAATCTTCAGAAAACACAGCATAGAAGCTAGTTCAGACTTGCACATGTACAAGCGGCATAACCCTGACTGACGTTTCACTCTTGTAGCGGTGTCTTCCCCTCCCGAATGTCGAACTTCGGCATCGAGAAATATCTCGATACCCTCCTTGACGCACAACCCACTGGCCGCGTTGGCAAGCCTGAGGACTTTGCCGCTCTGATTTTGTTCCTTTGCAGCTACGGCGCATCACATTTGACTGGGAACGTTATTGAGCTTGACGGTGGAAGCAGCCGGAGTGGGTGGAGAAGTGGATCGAGGCAAAAGAAGCTATAGAGCACGAGTGTACGGGTAAAAGGGTGGATAAATTCGTTATGTTTATTGGGGATACGAGCTACTTTAGTTATAGAGCCGAGCGTGTCCCATTTCCTTTTCTTTTGTGAGGGCGGACTGCTTCCATGTCCAAACATAAAATTACACCACATTGGAATATTCAAGAGATTGCAAAATACCTTCCATGCTATGAATTCGTATTGTATAATTTTGAGAAAACGCAGGTTCTCAGATTCAGAATGATATAAAAATTCTATACATTCGCATCATCTCATCCTTTTACAGTCCATATATCGCACACAATGCTACCATTTGCATTCCAGGGCTCTGTTCATAACAGTCATTAATTGTGGAAAAATCCACGTTGAAGATCGTTCTACCACAACCCTCTCCCGCTCAAAATTGGTTATTTTATCGCTTTAAAGAGCATTGTTAACCTCAAGCATCATTGCTCAGTCACATCCACTGTAACCGACGTGCAACATAGCTGCCACCCCCAATTACCCCGGTTACTCCCGTGAACACAATAAGTGTCCCATAACCACTACCGTAACCATAGCCCGCTTGGCCTTTCCAAGGCATGTTCTTAAGAAGTGCTTCACTCAAAGGACCCGAGACAATATTACCAATGCCTCTGCCCGCGGATAGCCAGGCTAAAACCATGGTTGAATCAGCTGAGGCCTTTTTCTCAACAATGTCGCGCATGATTCCCGGCCAAGTGCTTGTATATGATCCCGCGAAGAGTCCATAGACCACCGCGAAAACGAGGAGGGGGGCCAGCGATACAGAAAATCCCCACAGGAGGAATACTCCCAGACTTGATCCGATCGTGGAAAGTAAAATGCACGTGGTAACATCCCACTTGTCAATAATAGCCCCCATCACCACGCATCCTATCACAGATGCGACATTCAAAAGAATAACTGCTAGTGCATCCATGCTCGTTCGAGCGCCTATGGCGCGGGCGTAGCTTGGGAGGTAAATAGATGGCAGAAAGAAGCCCAGGGCCTCAATGATATTGCATATCTCGAACAGAGCAAAGGTCCAGCTGAACACGAAACGCAGGCTGGTGGGAGGCGATCTGGGACGCTGGGAAACCGGCACACGAGGTTTGACGAAGTAGACTAGTGGGGCCGTGAACACAAAGAGCGCAACCGCGAAGGCTCGGAGGGCAACCCGGAAACCGAAACGGTCAAGCAAACTTTCCATCACAATCGGAAGGATAACGCCGCCTAGTCCCGTCCCTGCCCACATAACACCGAATGCAAGGCCTTTGCGTTTGTCGAACCAGTCCTCCATCAGAAGAATGCAGGGGGAATACGCAATGCTCCCACCCAGCGCGTAGAAGACACCCTGCGTAACAATCAGATGCGTAACGGTCGTGGCAAAGGAGCTCATGGCCATGGCAAAGCACATCAGCAAGACACCAATGGCACAGCCAGCCCGCTGATACTTGGGCCACCGCCTGTATACGGCGAAAACAATGGGCAAGTCAAGGTACATAATTCCCTAAGGGCGACCAAATCAGTCGTTCCACTTACAGAATATGCCGCTGGAAGCCGTTATCTCGAAAACGAAACAAAAAGGGTTGAAAGTGGGAAAGGATGGATCATGTTTCTCACCATGGCGCAGGTCCCGATTACAGCAATGTTCCCGGAGTCCTTGAACATGTCAAGCGAGCTATAGTAGGCTTGGAAAACTCCATATGTGAAGGCAAATCCCCATACCAGGGCCTCCATGAAAAAGCAGGCAGCCAGGAACAACCAGGCATCTTTTCCACGATCAATAAGTGCAGTTTGCGTTGCCTCGTTGGCTTGCAATGGACCAGTTTCCACACCTTTCTCCTCGAGGTTTTCCGACGTATCTCTTCTATTCTGCAACGCCACCATGATATGAAAAAGGTATCACGAATGACCTAAAGCAATGTACTGTACATTCCCGCAGTCAAAAATTTAAAGAGATGTAAAAGATGGCAGTCTCGTGGAATGCTAGAGAAAGAAGCAAGGGAAATATGAGTCACTTATGGCAATGCGAGAATGGACATTCATCTTTGACTGGTTTTCCAATTGTTTCTTTTGCTTCTAGCTTTGTCTGGTAAAGTTGGGCGGGGCGGGGGTGTCAAAGGGCGTGTTTTACTTTTCCAGAACTTTCGTCAACTAGCCAAAGGGAACGTTCCTATGAGTTAGCGGAGCAGGCTTTATCATCTCGCTATCCAATCTGGCGCTGATATTCAAGAAGTCTAGATTTCTCCCACACGAGTCAACGCTGCAAGAGGATGATCTCAGGGACACCATGGGCTTATTGCGAGAACCTGGCACCCGAATAATAGCTCCCGTTACGAGGCTATGTGCGTTTACCCTGTGTCAAGACCAATGTGTCGTCTTGCAAAAAGGCATTATGTACTCCGTACAGAGTTCTCTGTGATGGTGTTATAATTATAAACTGGTTCCTCCGTTCAATCGACAACGTACGTTGGGACAAGCGAAGAAGCGTCTAGCACGCGCTAATCGCGCTAATTTTGTCGTGACTTCTACAAATCAACCAGCGGCAGGACTAGGTGTGTAACTTATCCATGATTCATAATAATAATAATAATAATAATAATAATAATAATAATAATAATAATAATAATATACTATTACCTTTTTGTTCAACTAACTGGAATCAGGCACACAAATCTCCGATTTCTTAGATCTTCTTACGCGCCATTATGCGAAGCCAAAGTCGCGCGGCTCACTGAGTATTCAGTCGTTCTTGTTATGTACCCCCCACTTCCACCCGGCCGCAAGATCTGTCTTTGCTCCTCATCCATGCTTCCGCCATTGGTTGGTGATGATCGGCTCACATCTTTCATGACATATGTGGTTCGATGAACGTCGTCGTCGTCGTCGCCAAGATCATAACCCATTGAAGCCTGCCGTTTGCTGCGAGAGCTTTGCTCCCCGTAACGCTTTCTTCCAGAGTATCCCCCGCCATACGTATGGGTATTAGATGGTGTCGAAAGACCACTCATGACACCGAACTTTCGCAGCATTTTCTCAAACGTTGATTTCAGAGGTGGTAGTGATGCAGCAAAGAGACCAGCATTGAATTCGGCTCTATGTGAAGATCAGGTATGTCCTTAAATAAGAGGAGTAGGGACAACACTCACTTCACCCAGAGTGTCAAATTCACGGCCGCATATGTCGGATCTTGAGTGTTTAGAATTGCGGATAGCTCGGTAGCTTTCGCGATTGCACATGCAGTGGCACTACGCAGATGTCAGTCAAGGGCTACGGTCAGTTGGTAAGCAAAACCCATGTGGCCTCACGTTAAACCGATCATAAAAACACCCCGCAGTGCCCATTTATTGTATCGGGAAACCCTGACTTTGGAAAGGTATACGAGGGGCCCAATCGAGAAGGCCAAGTCCGTGACAATATTGCCAGCTTGATATTATCAGTAATAGCACAGATGGATCGTCTCAATGCTTATTTACTCACTGGTCTGGAGGTATGACATGACTAACGAGACCTTTCGAGGCCAGCAAGTCCCCGGGAGCGTTGGGTCTTTATTCCACGCTTTTTCGATAGGCTTGCAGCCTGCGAAAGTGGTAGGGAAAACAGTCAAGTTTACGATTAGACTGATCACAATGCACGCAATAATACCAAAATTGAAAAACTTGCTCAAGTTGAGCCGAAGCAGTGAACTGCCAATTCCAACTTTCAAGAGGGCCATAGCAACACCATTGCAAAAAATCGCAAAGGTCGAATATTTCATGCACTGAACCACGTCGGCTATGTCGAGCGTCAGGAACGGCTTCCCACTCCCATACAAAACACCGGCAATCGTTAAGCCTTGACCCGCAAGACCTGCTAGCTATCATGCTATCAGTTCACATTTCTCCTAATCGTAGGGTTCCTGAGAGCGTACCATTGCAAAACAGATGAGAAAGTCATCCCATCCAAAAGGTCTAGTAGCGGCATATCGGGCCCAGAATCGAGCAAGGACAAACACAGTTCCAAAGACAGTCAAAAAGCATGACACTCCCATTAACTCAGGCCCACGGTCCCGTAGTGCGGTCGGCCCTGGAGCATCCATACTTGACAGTGAAGCTCGAATTTTCCTATTTCATTGGAGGGTCGATTGATCTCATCAGTTCAAAAGATCAGATTTCTCCTGAAGGGCAGATCGGATCAGAAGATCAGTGGGGAGGATTTCTCGGGTCGATGATCACAAGAATTAGGATTATTAGCGGGCGAACCACACATAATGAACTGTCTAATCCAAAAAATGGAGCTGGAAAAATCGCCTGCTCTATGTAGTGCGAAATAATCGACACATTCCCCATGTGGACTCCACGAGGCTAATAGCCTCTTCGCTTGGCCTCAAAGAGGAGGAACTGCTTGGATTATTCGGGATGGAAGCATTTTAGTAACTGGGGGCAATTCCACTAAAGTCGGAGGTAATGCAACCTTTGGCCCTCAGGAGTCAGGACTTGCCCCTGGTCAAACCCCTTCCACCAAGCCCGCCCAGGACCACAAGGATGGGTTTGGTGGGTTTTGTCAGGTTAATAGGAAGAGAAAGGCGAAAAAATGGCAAGCTTGCATATTTTGGCTGAGGATTGACATCGCGGTTCTCTGATATCTTTGCTCTCAATGGGGAGGCTGGACTTTGCTAGATGAGAGGCTCCCAGAATGCTCCGGTCAGAAATAACAAACTTCACAGCAACTAAATGGCTTAGGCTATAATTAAAGAGCGCCAGGAGCCCAATAATTCTTCACAAATTGTCCGAAATCAGTGGGCCAATCGAAATGTGAACTAAACTTAATAGTGCCAGCCTCTCCCTTTTGAGTTTCCCCATTCTAAGATCAGGGTCAAACCTTCTGAAGAAGAACATTGGTTTCGCCAATTGACAACATGCCCGCTTCAGTGCTCCAGGTGCGCCACCCAGGGACTCGGGGAGGAAGCATTGAAGCTTCGTTTGTCCAAGGAAGCAAGGGTCGATTTTCGAAACCTCCCTCAAGAATCTCCATGGATTTGGCCGAACTCCCGACCGCCAGCAAGTGCGTGGCGCAGCCTACGCTGGAAGTGCCGAACGGCCTTGGAACTTGGATGTGAAACAGGATCGTGGTTGGCCGGACTCTTGTCGATGTAAACAGTGGGGGGAGTCGGAAAAAATTGCCCAAAGCTTGACACGCATGCAAACACATCCAACTAGAAGCCGCCGCTGTCTCCGTGTTTAGGTCATGATATCAGGAGGCCCCAAAAAGAATCCCACTCTTTATCATCGGCACTGGATCATCGGGTATGTGCGGATGCTTTTCGGTCCCACACATGTTATGATTCGCCGCGTCTGATTCGACACCTACGCCGCGTATTATTCCTGCGAGAGAGTGGAGGTGTTCAAATGGCACTAACCTTTTTTTTTATGAACTCTATCGGTATGGCTGGCATTCAAAGCGGGAGGCTTGTTTCTTGTTTCTTTAAACAGCGTGCAGGGGCTATTCCTTGTCACCCATAAAAGAAAGTCAAGACTCGCTGAGGTCCCAAATTGGGAATCAACAATCATATCATGGCTGCTGAGTGTTCTCTGCAAAGAACAGAATAATCAGTCACAGGGAGAACATTCTCACCATCCGGTCCGGTTGCTCACAACATTGTTATTGTAGTTCTTACTCCAAAGCTTGTGAAGCGACCGTGCGAACAACTTCGAGGGTTGTGATTGGCTTCTCTGGTGGTTCACCAGCTTCACCAAGTGGACGGCAGGGACATAATAAAAAATGCGCTGCTTTTTAGCTTCACCACAGTGGAGCAGAAACTGCCAGCTTTTCGCACATTCATCTCGGAGAGAATCAGGACTTTCCTTTTACAGTCATAGTCATAGGAGGTCTATGACACCAGGGTAGGTAGGCTGATTGATACCTCGGCTTCCCCTCCTCAGATCTCGCCCCTTTTTTCCCCTTGACTTCGCACTTGGCACGAGGACGCTAGATACTGCGTTCGTCATCCTAGGGCTGCATTATTATTCAAGCTGCAAATCTCACTTCACACTGTTCGCAGTGGGCTAAGTAGTGATCAGGAAGGGCTGGACAAGAGGGTCAACTGGAGCTAAGTGGCCGGTTGCGCCTGTTCATTCGCCGCATAATGATCAATTTTCCGAATTATATCTTCTTGGGCGTCAAACTTCCCGAGAGGACGAACATCCTGTCCATCCGCCAACCGAAAGTTTCGTGATCTCGGCATTATTGTTTTAATAATATGCATAGGTTCATTCAGTGGAAGGTCGAAAGAAAGCCTTTGGTTTTTTTTAGCGCATGCCTCGCGCGGCATCGATTTTCTCTTCAAATCCCATTGGTTCTACTAGCCGCGCTAAGATGATAGTTATTAGTCTATTTATTTTCTTTTTTCATGCCTTGGCAGCTGCTCTCATTGAAACAATAGCGGACCGAGGTGAAAAGCTGAACGGGTTCTATATCCCTTTCGCACGGCGTGCACTCTTCACAAAGCTGAACAAATTGTCAGCAGCTACCATCAGGAGCTCGAAACGGATTCTCCACATCCCCTGATCTTTCGGAGCTAAATTATGCCCAGTTCAAGATTACCTGGATAAAATACAAACTGGATTATTTGGAGACCGATTTTACTATGTAGTCTTGATCGCCCCAGACAGACCGTGTGTTATATGGCTTGGGTTACATGGAGCTTTTGAGCGGGCCTCCCCGGCACGAGCTGGGTGAGAAATAATTGCTCGCCGACTTCTTTGTCCCATTTTTTGTTTTTGCATAAAAGTCCCATGCGAGCCCATCTCCATTTCGATGAAGGAGATACCATAGAGTCGCGAGGAATGGAAGATCAAAAATAGGGGCACGCTCCAAGCAAACCAAAAAGAACTGGCGCCTTCTCACCTGGTCAACTGTTCCGAGTCAAAATATCCCTTACTCAACCCAATTTCTCCAAAACCCTTTCGGGCCCCAGCCAGGTCGGGGTGGCCGTAACCGAGCGGCGGGGAGGAACTCTCGCCAGGCCCAGACCAGCGGAAAAGCATTCAGTGAGGTGGCATCGGGCTCCTCCGTCAGATATGAAGAGGGGCTTTTTAGACATCCCCCTTTTCCTGTGGAGTTCAACGAGTCATGACCGTCAGTCTCCCGTTGGCTTGGTGCGATCCAGCCTTTCTCACATGCAGAACAAATCAAAATACAACTAAAATAGTGCTTTATATAAGGGCAGTAGAAGGGACACATCCGTGGAAGTATGGTTGCCAGCTCGCCCAAGATTTCTTTCGAGGGAAAGAGAGAAGAAAGGGGAAAAGCCTGAATTTCATCACTCAGCCGATTCCACCCTTTGGCTAGTTATAATTAAACTGTCCAGAACACTCAAACCTGATGTGTACCCTGATCAAAAAGTCGATTCCTTTTCTCAAAATTTTAATCATGAAATCTTCAAGTTTTAGAAAACGAATTCAAAATCAACGGGTTTCTACAGAGTGTATTATTCTCAACTCAGCAGTTTCTGACCGTTTAACCTGCTAACTGGTACGCAAGCAGGAAATTAAAATGGTACCTCTTGATGCTGTATGACAGCTCTCGTGGCCCGATTATTATTTCCAGATTAACAAACTACTCCTCTGAGAATCTACCTGAGATAGGACTTTATGTCGCTACACTACCCGTCAGGGCCCTCACTGATCAGCGATCATCCCTTACCATTGAATATTAACAAGATGTCTAAAAAGCCGGTGAAAAAAAAATACTCGCTCGTATCTTCTTCAACTGTAATTGGGATAAAAGTTAAAACCTACCCCCACCCCTGACTGATCCCCCTCCGACCATTTACTGTGTAATTGGAGCTAAATGACGACGAAGAAAAAGACGCATGAAAATATCGGTGAGCGGTGGTGGCATATAGATCTAAGAAGGCAAGCAGAATTGCAACCCTCCAGCACCAACCTCCTCCTCCCCTCTCCCCCAAAAGCAAGAAGACATAACTACCTCAATAATATGATATTCTCCGTCCGTTCAGTGATATATCTAGGAGTTGAGAAGAGACCGAACCTCGCTCACTTAGAGTTTCGTATGTTCGTCCCTACTTTAGTTACCGTTAGTTACCCTGGATGCGCCCTGACCTGTCAGTTAAACATTTATGGACGGTGGAGCCAGTGCGCAGAGGCAATAATAATAATAATGGTTCAATCCGAACCCCTCCCTCTCTACAAAACGGCTTCTGCCCACGTTCCGTTGGCCAAGGTAGATTCCAATCAACAGCGCTCTCGCGGCTAACCCCTCCGCCCTCACTACCGAGAACGCAAGGCCCCCTTTCCCCTGCTTGTTGCCTCATGGCTTACGGATACTATGAGGCCTTGCAGAACGCCCGGGGGATCGGCAACGGCGGTAACTGGACAGTTTCTGTCCCTGAACGAGCAAGCCAACCCGCAAAATCAGCATTCTGGTTTCGTGGATTGGATGCTCTGTTCGCTTGTCGAATGGCGCTTGTACCTCACTAACTTCCACACCCTCATATCCCACGTGTCGTTGGAGTTAGCGGGTGGGCCCAGCTTGGGTGGGTGTGCATAGAAGTCAGCGGGAAAAGAGGTCCGACCTCCTCATATAGGTATCCCATCATTCTTAGCTCATTTGTTCTTATATGAATAGAGCATGTATCCCCGTTGTTCTGCATTCTTTTTGTCGATCAGTTCAGTCACTCATTCGGTTTCTTTTCTGTAAGCCTCCATTTCTTTTTTAAAAAAATTATTTGTTTTTGAATGGTCTAGAACCATGTTACTCTCGTTTCGCCCCTCGGGGAGTGCTTGTGCTCTTTGGTGCGCTCTCCTCCTCTTCACATCGTTCGCTACCTCAGCAGTTTTGGTCAATGACAATGACAAACGGACACTTCGTGACCCTAACGCGTTTGACTACATCATTGTTGGAGGCGGTTTGACCGGTCTTGTTGCCGCGCATCGATTGTCGGAGAATCTGTTTGGTTAGTACATCTTCCTGTATTCTTTCGTTGCCTTTCCTTTCTTCTCGATTCCAATGTGAGCGAATGAGGAATAATTTCTTTGTGACCCGCGATACATTATAAATGTGCGTGGAAACTAACTTGCATTCCGTGTAGTATCTGTGCTGGTCCTTGAATATGGCGTTATTGACCGAAGCAACAAGACGCTTATTCCCTACCTTGCCACCTCTCTAAATATCCCAGCCATGTTCGATATCAGAACGGCTCCGGAGCCAGGCCTTGAAGGTAACACCTATGCAGTCAGGGCTGGATCAGTTGCCGGTGGTGGATCGACCGTCAATGGTACGTAGATCTTTGTGTTGAGAAAGTAAAACAATGATTTTTGCACAAGCAACTTACGCTGTTTCTAGGTATGGCATATGACAGAGCATCGGTTGCCGACTATGACTCCTGGGAAGAGCTTGGAAACCGCGGCTGGGGATGGAAGGGCATGTTTCCGTATTTCAGGAAGAGTGCGGATTTCACCCCTCCGCCAAAGGCGATCGTCGATAAATACCAATACACATATGACGAGACTGCTTACGGTCACTTCAGCCCTTTGCAAGTTACGCTCCCTCACTGGCAGGCTCCCGACCAGTATAAGATGGCGGATGCCTTCACCGAGCTTGGAGTCGAGCACCTCCAGGAACATGCCAAGGGGAACGCAATTGGTCAATTCTGGGCTCCTGCTACCATTGATGCCAAAACCATGACTAGATCCTCGTCATTGACAGCATACTATGACAAAGCCAGCTGGCGTCCAAATCTCAAAATGCTTACTAAGCACCAAGTCACTCAGCTAACATTTGATGGGGACTCCACGACGGTTACAGGCGTGAAGGCTATCAACAGAAAGACGAATGCCGAAGTGACCTTCCGCGCGAGAAAAGAGGTTGTTATGGCTGCGGGTGCTCTTCACACCCCTCAGATCCTCCAATTGAGTGGTATTGGGCCTAAGAGTGTTGTGGAAGCTGCCGGGATCAAGTCCAGAGTCGACTTGCCAGCAGTTGGAAGCAACTTGCAGGATCATCCCGTCGCGTACTTGAACTGGAAAGTTACTAACAGCTTCCCGGAGCCAAACATCATGGCGATCAACGAGACTTTCGCTGCTGCGGCGTTGGAAGAATATCAGAACCATAGAACTGGTCCTTACACAAAGTGCCAGTCTAACACAATTGCATTCCTCTCCCTGTCCATGATCACCAATAACACTGAGGATCTGATCAATGACCTGAAATCGCAAGTAGCCTCCAATTACCTGCCCGATTCGTACACTAGCGATCTGATTGCTGGATACGAAGCTCAGCGAACCATCCTGGCCAGGCAGCTTGGAGATGGTTCTGTCTCTGCTCTCGAGTTCCCATTTAGTGGTTCAGGAATGGTGCCCAATTCGATTCAGAAGCCTCTTAGCCGTGGAACCGTGTATCTCAACCCTACAAACCCCCATGGGGAACCTATCGTCACGTAAGTTTAACCATCTAGTAAACTAAGAAGCAAGTCACGGAAGACATCACCTGGAATTTTAATATTGACTATAATTTCAAACCAGATACCACGCCTTCACAAACCCCTTCGATCGTGCCCAGATTGCCACCTTCATTAAATTCACTCGCCGCTACTTCAAGACAAATGCTCTTGCCGATATGCAGCCCCAGGAGGTCTCACCAGGCGAAGACGCCCAAACTGAAGATCAAATCATCGCGAAGCTCATTGCGGGAGGCCCTCTCTCACTCTCCCCGTCTTTCGCGCATCCCAGCAGCAGTTGCCCGATGATGCCCAAGGAGAAGGGCGGCTGTGTCGGTGCTGACCTGCAGGTGTATGGAACGAAGAGGCTGAGTATCATCGATGCTTCGATCATTCCAATCATTCCCAGTGCGCATCTGCAGGCGACTATGTATGCTATTGCTGAAAAGGCCTCAGATATCATCAAGTGGAGAGGCTTGTGGCAATGGGGGTGATTGTGGCCGTCTTTTTGCCCATCATAATGTGGAGGCTGTTTAGGTGTAGATTCGGGCGTGTATATATTCCATAATTCTAGACGTTATTCTCTCCAATCACAGGAATACTAGATAATCAGCATCGCTCTGCTTTTCACCGCTTACTTCCTCTTCCTCGCTCTTTTCGTGACGATGCCTCAGAAAACCTCCAATTCACATTCGATTCCCCTGCTCATCTCATGTGTGGGGGGCTGGCGAAGGCGGAGGTGAGCCTCTTGCGATCCACTAGTGATTCAGTATCAAAAGAAATAAGTGAAGGAAATTGGCATTCCCTTCTTGTAAATCCTAGGAGTCGACCCCGCATCCTCCTTTCTCCTCTCCATCCCTCGCCTAGGTTAGATAGCCAGAGTGCGACTGAAATCTGTACGTAACGCGTCGAAAAGCTCGCGACTGCAGTAGCTCCTAATAAAATTCCGAGTAAACCAATCAGTAGTAATCGTCCTTTTTGCAAGCTCTGCCCCTGAAAAAAGACGGAATCGGAAAACAAAATATGCTGTCTTATCAAGAATGCATTAGCTTGTTGACTCTGCCCATATGAAATATTTGACTTTTTTTTTAAGGGCTGGGGTTAAGCGTTTGAGATCGCGGGGAGTGTCCGATTCGGTGCTTATTGGCATGGATATGTGTATCCATGGATGCTTGGGATGGCCTTGTGTATATTGACAGCTGTTGTCTAAGCCCAAATGCCCCAACTGTGTCCAATGCATCAAGGCATCCTCGAAACCAAACCCACCACAACCCCCTCAACAAGAATAATAGCATAAAAGCAAAGAGCAAAACAATCCCATCCCATCCCATCCCATCTCGCTTTTACACTTAACCCTCATCTAGTCCTCGCCCCAAAGAAATGCAGACAAGCAACGCGCGTAATCAAACATCTCGCAGCTTCGGTGCAGCTAACGTTACACCGGCCGCGGCCATACTATTTCTCCGAAAGCTGACCCGGCCCGCCGCTACGGCTATTTTGCAAGGGGTAGCGCCTAATGGTCTGTACCTAACTACGGGAGTGGGCGAATTGGAATATGGTGAAGGTGCTGTCCTTTCACGCGCTTGGCGGCTAATCTGTGGATCCGATGAGGTCATGGGCGCGCTTGTCTGTTTTTGTTCCGGTTGGTTGTTCGGTGGGAGGGATGGATGTTACGGAGAGGAATGATTGAGTCTGATGGAACCTTTGCATTCTAGAATTGGGTTTTTATGTAGAAGGCAATGGAGATATTCATTTATAATTTATATACTCCGCTAGGGAGGGAGGTTGTTTTGAAGGTGAGAATCAAGAGCGATGGGGTGAAGATATATACATATATATGATACATAGATAGTGGACATATATATTATGGACACTGTTGAGATATTACACCCGGAACAGAAAAGGAGGTTGCAACACGTTAATAACCCTCCGTTCCAAAGAGGCCATCAATCATATATATATATATATATATATATCAATCCTTAGAAATAAATAAAAATCAGAAGCCGCCATATTCCAACCAGGTTGTGCTTTCACTTTTTGGATCCAGGAGAAAGCTCAAACACCCAACACTCCCACAGACACAGCATCAATATTTTCCCACACACCCCCGAACCTGCATATTAACAAGAAGTATCCACCTGAGCAAATTAATCAGATATAATATAATATTTCAACCAAGTTACATATTCCGTTATCCCTCCCGAAAACGTGCAGTGGCGGTTCTCCTCCCCAGGTTACGCGCAAATAAAAAACCTCAATAAAAACAACGCGATGGATTCATGCTTTCCATCATCACACACACACCCTGATAGGGTAAAATCATACTATCTCCGTTCTTAGGCTGATAGCCTACAACAGAGATATCTGAGAATCAATGGATTTATTCTACAGCGTTGCTTTGCTGTTGGGCACACGCACGGAGAAGGCAAGGAATGATAATTGATGGTCAATGAGACCTTGTGAATCAGGGCAGCGCGCGCCCGGGTCTATGACTACTACTTTAGGATGCTATCTGTTTCTCAGATTAGAGTCGATAAAATTAAACGGTAAGACTGTTTGAAGGTGTCTGTTAGGGTGGTTTGTGGAAAATATTCGGGTTGAAAGAGAAAAAAGTGCAACTGAATAAATCTTCTTTGGGGTCGTTTTGCAAGGGGGAGTGACTGGATAGATAGCCCTGGTACAGCAAATATAAATAATTATTTGACTGATTTTTTGAATTTCGAAATAGGCCATGTAACAATAAGAAAAGATAATCATATTTTAGATTTTCGATTTTGATTCTGGTGTCTGTTAAATGTGCGGGAGGACAGTTTGCGAGTGGTCCAGGGCTTTCCTAACCGAAGGACAGCAGGACGCGCCACCCAACCCCTCAGTTTCAACAATCAAGCGCGATTTGTGTAGAAGACGACGTATAACGCCTGTTATATGTGTAGCTATTATTATCCTTAGATATAATAGATAAATAATCAAAAACATGAGCCTGTGGCTTTGGTGGGAGTTGAAGTTGTCGAATCGAAGTTTTTGATCAGTCGCATTTCAAGGGTCGTTTAGCGTCCTCGGTTTTTCTCATCCCTGAGGTGACCTGAGCGAACAACGAATAACAAAAATCTAATGAGTAAAAATGATAATCAAGGAACTAGAAATCCAACTCCTTGCTAATAGATCCTTCAAAGAAAGAAAAAGCTATGGCCAAAATATGGAAGTCTGAACCCGTTTGGTGGTTGAAAGATCAGGGTAGGCATGCGACCGGGTGACATCCATGTTTTGTCGTGATCCTCAACCGCATACGGGGTGATATTTCATAAAAACAATATCGTTTGTATTTATTTAATAATACAATAACAATTTCCATACTTTTTGCGCGCTTTGCGATGTGGTTGTTGTTGTCCTGAGAGGAGGGGGGTTAGGGCCAACGGGGTCCAAGAGAGTGATTTGGGTCACGATCTGATCTTGATGTAGCAGCCACGACGGGTATTTGCAAAATTAAATCATGAAAATATGATGAAGATAGGCGTAAATATGGCCAGGAACTATTAAATGAACCGAAAACAGTTGTGTGTTGGAAAAGATCAGAGATAAAGCATTTCGAGGAGGTTTGGGAGTCAAGGGGAGGGACGGGAAGAGGGATGATGCCGGTACAACAAGGTTTGGATCAAGGCTAAGAACGCAGTGGAAGGTTTGAGATCAACCACTCAAGATTGATTTTGTGTGTTTGCGCTTGAATGGAAGCGGATGGCGAAAAAGAGCATCGAAGAGTGGAAAAATGGAAGACAAAAAAATATGGTCATTTGACTCTGATTCGTTTCTGCTTGCGGGATATGCGCAGCCCAATATATGCCTAGATTAGGCCTTCCATCAGCGTCCACATTTTTGATTTTTGATGTTTTTGATTTTTTTTTTTTTTTTGATTTTTTTTTTTTTTTTTTTTTTTTTTTTGGCTCTTGAACGAGAGAATATCAGTTAACTGCCGTGAGGTGAGAGTGTTTTCGCTGTAACTGGAATGTTAATTAGCAATGAAGGACGCAAGTTGATATCGCGTTGATGATATCCCAAACAGCCTGAAACTGTTAACAAGTCAACGCTTCGAGTGAAACAGAAAAGTGAGTCTGGCCAGACCAGTGGTTATCCCGTCAATGCGAACCATAAAACATCCCGCGCAGACCATTCAAGATGCTGCTTGGGGGGGAGCTTTTTCATGAACCTGTCAGTGAGCTGAGCGTGGTTGGCATCAACTCCGCAACGGCCAACGAATACATACATGCAAGGACCACCAATCAGTAGTTGTCCTTAACTATATAGTTAAGAGAATGGCATAGCTAGACAGTTGTTAAGTATCATGGTGTATACTCTGTAATTGGAAATGTGCTTCAAACAGTGTAGAGATAGCAGAAGGTAAAACGAAGACCTCTTATTATTTATTTATTATTATTATTATTATTATTATTATTATTATTATTATTATTATACAGGTCGATAGTTGCGAGACCAGTGGGGTTTTATGATTTACTTTCTAAGGAGGAGGGGGGGAAGCCAACCTCGTCCAAAGATCAACCAACCCCCTCGAGGGGTGTGTGATGTGATGCTTCACCCACCAAGCGGGAGGGCTTTCTTGAAGAGACGAGAACAAGCACAGATAGCTCGAGACCAGCCCCCAGCAGCGGCCAGAAGAATATCAGACGTCAGACGGCAACAGGGTGGTGCGAATCAAGGGAACCGTCTGGCGTACGGTACGCGAGGGAAGGGTGATGTGATGGGTTGATCCTGCTCGGGGCTGGCTGCTGCTATAAAAGGCGCGCTGCCCCGCTGCCTCGCCCACGCTTTCCCTCGCCCAACTCCCAACTCCCAACTCCCAACTCCCATCTTTTTTCTCTTTTTTCCCACTTCCATCGCGATCCGTCTACCCTACCACAACAGCAACCACCACATTCCGCTTTCATCACCTCGTACTCCTGGTACCCTGTCTGTTCATCGTCGATAATCAACTGCATCATCCTCTCTCACAATTTCAAAGGAAATCCACGCTCATAATCCACAGTCGCCATGCCTCCCAAGAAAGCCGTCACCTCCAAGCCCACTGCCACCCATGCGTCCTACAGAGGTATGTCTTCCGCTCCTGATCTTCCGCCACCACATCATCTTCCTAATCTACCATCAATATATTTGTGATCGCGTGCCCTTGCTGATTCCCGCAATATAGATATGATCAAGGATGCCATCATTAATGTGAGTCCATCATCTTCGCGCCACGGTCGCTTGTTCTCTAGGCCCTCGTGACGCCTAGCTTGCCGAGTGGCCACAACCACCATGGGAGCTTATCTCCACTCCACAACTTTGTCGCGTCACTTTCTACTTGGTTCCTTTCGCTAACTCTACTCCCCCTACAGCTCAAGGAACGCAATGGAAGCAGGTAAGCTTTTTTCGGGCGTTGCGTCATGACCTCGCCGTCGCCCCCCTTCTTCCCCCCCTGCGACACTAACGTGCGCGTCAGTCAGTGTTGACATGAGAGACTAACCGTTTATTCTTCTCATCTAAAGTCGCCAAGCTCTTAAGAAATATGTCCAGGCCAACAACAGAATCAATGTGACTTCCCAGAGCGCGTTCGATGCCCAATTCAACCGTGCAGTCAAGACTGGTGTCGAGAAGGGCGATTTCACTCAACCAAAGGGTTCGTCGCGCACCATTTATTATCCCCCCCCCCTCTTTACCGTGTGAAACATCATTTCCCCGGCGCGTCCTACAAGTTTCCGCCGAGGATGATGCCATGTCCATGATATAATCATGACGCGCGTCTCTTCCGTTGTCAACAAAAAACTAACGCACCTACAGGTCCATCCGGCCCTCTGAAGCTCGCCAAGAAGGAACCAGCCAAACCCGCTGCTAAGAAGGCTGCCGCAAAGCCTGCTGCTGCCAAAAAGGAAAAGACACCCGGTAAGAAGGCCACCACAAAAGCCGCCACCACGACGAAGAAAGCCGCTGCCCCCAAGAAGACTCCTGCCAAACCAAAAGCAAACGTTGCTAAGCCTCGCAAGGCCCCAGTTGTATGTTTCATCATACCAATTCCATCCCAATGCTTTCTGTGTATATTAACAATTCACAATCAACAGGCCCCAGCAGTAGTTGATGCTCCCAAGGTCACAGGAAAGACAAAATCTGGCCGCGTCACAAAAACAACCGCTAAGCCCGCACCGAAAAAGAAGACCACCGGACCCAAGAAGACCCCCACAAAGAAGGCAACACCGAAGAAGGCAGCAGCATAGTTTCGTTTTGCTATTCTCTTTCCTTTTTCATGTAGTTATTATGCCTTCTTTTCGTTCTGCGTTCATGGGTTAAGGGTCTGGCTCTCTTTTATATATTTGCTCTCTCTCTCTTTCTCTCTCTGTGTGTGTGTCTCTCTCCCACGGTTCTGATTAGCCCTGGGGTTTGCTGTTTTTCGAACCACTGTGCCCATGAATCACCCATTTTTTATTATTTGGTACGAAACGGCGTCGAGGTAGGAAATATGGAAATGGATGGGTTGCGTCTTTTAGTATTTTTTGTATTCTGTTGTTTTGTCGGTTTATTAATACTTTTTTTTCCCTTCATTTTTCCCATGTCGTTATTCTGAGTGAGTGTGTTGAGTGCGTAGTGTGTTGCATATTCTTGTTGTAAGGGGATACGTTTATTCTTTTCTTAATTTTAAATTGTTCCTCCCTTTCTTCGTTTTTAATATCGTGTTTTCTTTAATTTTTTTTTTATTTATAGCTCGTATTTTAACCTCTTGTTGGTTTCTGATCGCGCTTCTGGGTCTATAATGGTGTATATTTATATCTATTCTACGGATTGGTGGTTGGTTCTACTTTATAGGAACAGGTGGTGAGTGGAATAAATTATAATAGTAACGACAGTAGATATCGGGGAATAAAAAACAGGGTTGGGGGGGAAATACGTTATTATTATTTATTATTCTTCTTATTACTATGATAAAACACTCCCTTCTTATCAGTTGTATGAAGACAGTACATGTGGCAGGGACTCAGAGTAACTAACTATTTGAGTACACAATTTTCACTGTGTCTGTTTTTGTTGCATTTTTTTGAGTGCAGAGAAGGAAGGGGGTTGAGTTGCACTGTAGATACATGTACATGTACATGTACATGAATGAAGAAATGAACAATTTTGTTGATAGAAGATTTCATCTCTTCTCTCTATCTTTTATATATCTTACTGACATTTTCATCTACATCATTGCCTTTCTGAGTATTACCATTCTCAGATGTAGATGGGGGTCTGGTCTGCAGGGGAAATGTGTATCTGCGTGCACACATACATATACATATATAACAAACATCAAATGCTTGCTTATGCTCGCTTTGCTGCTTGCGCAGCCCCCCCTACCTACCACCTCCACCCCCTATCACCCCTATCACCATCATCAGATTAATCAGAGCTGTACAGGCCGCAGAGCCGGCCGTTCAATCCCATCCATGAATTCAAAAGGGGGTGCACATGACATCACGTGAGGTCATGTTTACAGGGCATTTTGCGCGGAAAAGTTGGTGTTTCTATAATAAGAGAGAGAAGATTCCCGGTTATGTCTCTCTTCACCTGGACTATATACCCCATACAGACCAATTCCAAGCTCCAAGCTCCCCCGTCTCTCCCTTGCCTTACAAGTTAAAGCTACTAGTGGACGTTGTACAGGTACATGTACGTGTGATTACAGATATGTCTCTTCTCCGGGTATTGTACATGTACATGTACCTATTGTGCCTGATTGTCTGTGTCCTGGTTTTGCATGAGCTTACATGTTGGTTGGAAACAAGTAGGATATAATGTAAAAGCTGTTTGTTCCAAATGATTAAAGGAACTTGTCTACAAGTGTGACTTCATTTGATAGCTGCTATCACTTCTCACCCCGTAGCCAGACACATCTTAATCAAAGGGAAATTAGAAAATAAATACTCGGGTCGTCTTGTATATTGTCCGGCTGAAAACACCCAGGTTTAGGATTCTTGATCGCCCTCTGAATTTCCAACAATTAACTAGGCCTAGGTCCCGCTTCATCCCTATCCCTCATGGGGGTGTGTGGTTGAGGGAGAGGGAGGAGAGGGAGGAGAGGGAGAGAAAGCCAGCCGTTGTAGTTGTTATATTATTATAATTGGAACTGGCCGGATAGATAAAACGCACGTAGACCTTGAAGTTTTTATGAATGTAACATGTACATGTACATGTACATGTACTATGCTAACTTCGCCCTCACGTTTCCGTCCTCACTTATGAGCTTCGCACATCTCATTTACAGCGGGCATGACTTCGCCTATTATTACATTTTTCGTAGTGTTAAGAGTCATTTGTTAGCAAAGCGTGAAGCCTGGAAAGATCCACTTTGATTTCGTAACCCTCCCTTCCTTTTTTACTTTTCCTTCCCACCTCCCGCTTTTTGAGGTGTATAATCAATATATATATATATATATAAAATCCAAACTTACTCAAAGCAACAGCGACACCGCACCTCTCATAGACGCACGGTGCCGATTCCGACGCGATCTTTTTGAAGTTCTCCGGTTCGCAGATACATTTGTAGTCGTCCTTGCGACAGGTTGTGACACGCTCAACGGCTTCTTGGCAAGGGAGGGCGCATTTGGGCATTTGGTTATCGGTTTGACTGTATGCCGGCGCGCAGAGAGAGAGGACGACGGAGAGGGCCAGCAGGAAGGGGTTGTGTTTCATATTTTTTTTGTTTGCTTTTTGTATGGGCGGTGTGTAGTGGGTTGGGGTTGAGGCGCGGGAGGGCGGGATGCGAAAGTGATTGGAGGTAGAGAAGTTGAAATTATGAAGAGGATTGAGAGTGAAGATTAAAGTAAAGAGGTTCAGAGCAGACAGGAACGAAACGTGCTAGGCAAACATATATGTTTATATGTCGTTTTGCGGTTGAGCGCTCAGACCCCCCCCCTTAGTGGTAGTGAACTCCTAGGTGGTAGGATATCCGAAATTTGAGACTGCGACGATCCGCCAGCAGAGAACAAATAAGAAATATTGATCTACTTAGTTACGGATCCGTACTGCTCATTTTCAATCCGCAACATATGGGATTTCCATAGCAATATCCTTTTTTCATGCGATTGTTACAAAGCAGCAATGAAAATTGCATCCTGGGATAGTATTTTATGTCAATAATATATTGAGGATGGGAAGTAAGTGACAAGCAACACCAGCCGTATCCGGGCTGGAGCTGCTGGTCTGGCGTGCTGCCTTCCAGAGGTGAAAACCCGGGAAAAGATTGACAAGCAAAAAAAATTCCATGGGAATTTTTTGCTAGCTGAACAATAGTATGAATATAGAAAATTCAACTATCACGATTGACTGAGATTGTCTAGGGGTTGCGGAAGCTAGTTCAACTGAATACCGCGGATGCCACTTTTTGTTGTCTTGACTGATGATGGATTTCTTGAGCCCACAGATTGCTGACCGGAGAGCCGCGACTTCGAGTAGAGGCTGTTCTACTTTTAGACAAGTAGTGGAGGTTTGCGGTCAATAGCATCATCAACCCTATCCACACGAGGAACGCTCAAGGTGACGCGTAGTGATGATTCGGGATGTTGCTTCGTATTCAAGTTTTATTCTCAATATTCAGTTTCGTGGGGAGGAATTGTTCGGCATTACGATTATTTATATTCAAAGCACTGCGAATCCACTTTTCGCTGTCCCGAATATGGCTCGAAAGAAAGATATTTATCAACGGATCAAGGGAAAATGGCCTTCCGGTGGAGATCGCGGGTTTCATGATGGCATAGGTACCGTTTTAGTGTGTGCGAGCCTGCAGGGAATGGAAGATTCATACCAGGTGCATTTGGCCCAAAAAAATGTGCACAAGTGTGGCAGAGCTGAAATGATGCATTGGAAGCCGCGAAGAAACTGATCAGAGCCAAGAAGCATTGAATAATGGATGGAAACTGCAGAAGAATCTTTGGAGATCCTTACTGTCTATTTGCCAACTAACAAGTCGCTAGCTGGAGAACAAATGTTTTGCTGAGTGATGATCACTACAACAGTACTGACCTGTGGAACATCCACATTGCTTGGACTTAACGATAGGGTGAACGAGAGAAAATTGGCAAACTAGCGCCTAGGCATGAGTTGGATTGGCAATTTCCAATTTTCCTGCTTGTCTCAGACAGAACCTCGAGTTGTTCGGAAAGCCTGCTAGGAATCCGAATAAGAAAGGGGATAGATATCGAGATCGAGGAAGAGCCGGTAGGGGTTTGTGCTGTTTTGCCGTTTACTTTAGGATACCACTTCGAATGCCAGCCCTATGATCGACCGAAAACATTAAGATCTGCTGTCTGCCATGATTCCTCGCAGTGTCTTGTCTGCTGGAGGTTTTAGGCTTGGGGGTCCTAGCAGTGCAGCTGCGCACCCGACATTCTTATCTTCCCTGTCGATTGCGGCGCAGCAAACATTTCCGCAATGTGAGTTGGTCCGGTTAGCCCTGATATTTTATAGAGATCGCTGTTTGCTGGGCTTTTATTAGCGATTGAGATTACAATTTACAGCACGGAGTAGATGGAGGAGGGCGGAGGCTAGAGGAATCGCAGCCCTCACCGTTCATTATTAATAATTCGCCTTGCCGCATCCATCACAGCACAAATGCGCGAAGCCTATGGGGCGGCTGCTGTGGCTTGCGGGGCATTCTGCATTATTATGCATAATAGGGTTGCCGTGCTGCCCCGTTTGTTAGTTTGGTGGTTTATAGTGGTGGTTCCTGGTTAGTAGAGCCCGGTGAGGCGGATGTGACAGGCGAGGGTGCAGATTGGCTGCGAACTGCCAACCTGGCACCTGCGCTAACCCCCGAACGACCCGCGCCAAACCTGAACAGCCACAACGCCCCCCCGTGACCTCAGCTCAGCCCAATTCATACTAACTACTTTTGGATTAGCGAGTCACTAACCTCTTTGGAATCTGCCACTAATATTATCAACCAATAGAAAGCCTCAGATCTTCAGAACAACTCAAAATCTCGTATACACAGTATAGTAGAGTCTGAGAAAAGAATATGTAAAGATTCAGCCCTCTCTCATACAAAAAACATCATCCTCTTCAATCTCATACATCAATTATTATAATGATATATTTAGATTCTTTATCTCTCTAGCTTCATTTTGTGCTATCACAGAAACTTTAATGATATATATTCATTGAGATACTATAATTTGAAGATGAGTGACATTAGAATATCTTGTGTGAGAGTTTTGCACTAACATTAAGAAGATACAGAGTCTGCCTCCTCATATCCATGAGATCTCTATGAGAATAGAGCTTGCTAGCTGCCACTGCCTGCCTGCCTGCCTCCCTGCCTTTCATATCCGCCGGATTCTATGAGAACAGAGCTTGCTAGCTGCTGCTGCCTCCCTGCTTGCCTGCCAGCCCCTAACCCCCTTCCTCTCAATCGTATGCAGTTTTTTTGTATTATTAATATTAATACTCGGAGGTTTATATGGGATATATCTAGCTCTATAAGATTTTTCAATATAATAGAAGAGATGTGGATGATTTCTATCTTAATATTTCAAAAATGTCACGGTATTTGATTTTTGATCTTTTTTGAGCTGACACTTTGTACTTATCACTTGAGATATAAAAAAAAAAAAAATCACTCTATCGAAAGGTCATTGATTTATCTAGCTTTTCTGCTAGCACTGAATTATTATTGAATTGATATAGCTGTTTTACTATTCTCATCCAAAGAGAACAAGTCAAAAAAAAAAAAAAAAAAAAAAAAAAAAAGTCACTGTGTAACTAACTGTTTTGTTCTCACGTTTGGTTTGCAAAGAATTGACTCCGATTTCCTATTTAGAATTAGTGCAGGATATGTAGGGGTTAGCGGGGCTTGGCACAATCTCAATCTGAAGCAAAGTGGCTGAGTTTTACTTGAGATAAACTACTCCGTACAATTCCACTCGGCCACCATCACCGAGCAACGCACCACCACCACCACCACCACCACGACGAGCACCTCCAGCGCCCAACCAATACCTCTACCAACTCTACCACAACCACCACAACTACGAACTAACAGCCACTCTGCTTAATCACCTCCCCGTCTACTGGCGGTTTATACACAACCCCCCGTCGCTGCTGGATTCCGCTACATGTCCCCGCTCACATGACAGCGCTTCCTCTTTGTTGTGTCTCTCCTGTTGCTGCACACACCCTTTAATATGCTGATGTCCCATTGCCTTGTCTGCCGCACCTACTAAGCGTAGTAGGTAGGCGGTCCCCCCGTGCTTCTTATCGCAGACCATTCTCTTTCAGACGCAAGGGCACCATAGCGGTTTTGTTGGTGTCTCGACGGCCTTGTTCTGTCTTGCCCTTCTCCTTCTCTCCTCCCACCGCAAGTCACTGCTGCTCCAGAGTGGCAAAGGAAGACCGCTACTCCCCAGTTCGCTGCTGTCCGTGACTCCCCCTTCACCATGCCGTCCTTTACCAGCGAACCTCAGCTCCTTCACCACCACCACCACAATCACCTCCACAGCCATAACCACCATCACCAAGTCGGCTCCTCCTCATCATCTACCCACGACCATTTGACTCGCAAATCATACGACAAATCCTCTATAAGCAATACTTTCGTTTGGACCCCTGATGTAAATGGGGAGAATGGCTGTGTCGATGACGCCTCTGACCAATTTGTCACTAACTTCAAGGGGGGAAGTCTGCCATCTTTGGGTGCCCTTGGTACTGCAAGATCTGCTATTTCTCCCCACGGTCAAGAGACCGCCAAGTCGACAAACGGAAGTCTCCTTTCGGTGACTACGGGGCCCGCGAGAGACAAGGAGCAGGGAAATGGCGCTTCGACTCCGACACACCATGATTGCCTCACTAATGGTTTCACGGATCACATTGAGCTGGAATTGGTATTGAATGGAACTGCGGTAGCCCATCAGACGAATGGTACATCGTCAAGACCTAGGTCCACAAGCCCCGAACCCCTGGTGAACGGTGACCAGACTGCCTCCGATGACGTTGCTGCTACTGAGTTTACTACGCCTTCCTCTTTGCAGCCTTCGATGATGGATGGTGCTATTCTCACTCTACCTGAAGCAATACCCTTACAACCTATCTATCGCCATTCCTCTCCTAGTGCCTCCAACCGGACCGACAAAGATATCCCCATACCTCCAAACAGCCCTCGATCACAACGTCATACTCTTCAAGTCCCTAAATTTCATAATGCACGGAAGAACAGCCGCGACTTGTCCCTACCTACCCATGTGAATCCTTCCGAAGATACAATTGCAAGTGGTGATCGACTTGCGTCACCGACGTCGGGCCTGCGACGACCCTCCCTCAGCCTTGCCCGGAGAACCACCCGGTCGCTAAATTCGGATCTTCATCCAGATGAGCCTCCTCCAGAAGAAGATGCTGCTCGATGGGCGGAAATGATCAAGCAACGACGAGCTAGCAAGCGAAGGCGAAGGGAAGAGGAGGACGAGGATCGTGTTATTGTCGGTACAAAAGTTGATCAAAACCACGTGAACTGGGTTACAGCATATAACATGTTAACTGGGATTCGCTTTACGGTTTCAAGAACCAACGCGAAAATGGACCGCGAGCTTACCGATGCCGATTTTGAAGCAAAGCACAAATTTTCTTTTGACATGTAAGTGGTTGCAAAGTATATTTCCTCTCCCGGTGTCTTTATACTCACGTTTACATCTCTATAGAACTGGTAATGAATTGACGCCCTCCGCCAAATACGATTTTAAATTCAAGGACTACGCTCCCTGGGTCTTCCGCCGTTTACGTGCGAAATTCAAACTCGACCCCGCGGACTACTTGGTGTCCTTAACAAGCAAGTATATATTGTCTGAGTTGGGTTCTCCAGGTAAAAGCGGTAGTTTCTTTTACTTCTCTCGAGACTATAAATACATCATCAAAACCATCCATCACGCCGAACATAAACTCCTACGAAGAATCCTCCGCGACTACTACGAACACATCGAAAACAACCCAAATACCTTAATCTCCCAGTTTTATGGCCTCCACCGGGTAAAGATGGCATATGGTCGAAAAATCCACTTTGTTGTTATGAATAATTTGTTTCCACCTCATCGAGACATACACCAAATGTATGATCTTAAAGGCTCAACCATTGGACGAGATTTTCGAGAAGAGGACCTTGAAAAAAATCCTAGGGCAACGTTGAAGGATCTAAATTGGATTCGAAGAAATCGGCGCCTTGAGTTCGGCCCTATGAAACGGGAAATATTTATAGCCCAACTTAAGAGGGACGTGTCCTTACTTCAGCGTCTAAAGATCATGGACTACTCACTTTTAGTGGGTATACATGACCTGGAGAAAGGGAACGCTGAAAATGTTCGAGATAAAACCCTTCAAGTTTTCCAACCTGGTGGAGAACGGAGTGATGAACAACAGCCCAATCTCCTCACAAGAACCCCGTCAAGATTAGAGAACGCTCGGAAGGCAAGGGAACTTCGAGAAATAATCAAACGGGAAAAACCAGTGCCAATTCAGCAAACGGCAGCTCTCCCGGACGAGATACTTGATGAACGCAAAAATCTAGCTTTCTATTCCGATGATGGCGGGTTTCGTGCTACACATGAGACCGGCCAGCCGGGAGACGAGATATACTATCTTGGTGTGATTGATTGTTTGACACATGTATGCTTTTTATCTTCTTGCTGCTGACCACTAACGGGGTGTTTTAAACTAACTATTCTTGATATGTAGTATGGTATGGTCAAGAAGGCAGAGCACTTCTGGAAAGGGCTTTCGCATAATCGAAACCAAATATCCCCAATACCTCCTGACTCGTACGGGGAGCGATTTCTCAATTTCATCACAGGCATCACCATGTCGAAAGAAGAAACTGAACGGGAGAGGCAAAGTAAAGAACAAGGCCAAAGCTCTACGGACGGTACATCACTTTCTCACGCCCACCCACGATCAGACATTCAGCGAGTCATGGAGAGGGCTGAGCGAGATGCGGCCAAAGCAGGCAGAAATCTCGCAACTGATCCAGAACCAAATCAACACGTCTTAAGTACCATTCGGGCCACTTCTAGCGATATGCCTGGTGTCACCTCCACTCTACCCGTCGTTGAAGAGGTTGGGGAAGCTGGGAGCACAGGGAGTAAGGGCGGGAGAAACAGTCCTAGCGAAAAAAGTGAGCGGAGGGGAAAATCACAGGAGTATGAAAGGAACGAAGAAATCCCCAATGGGGACGTCTGGAATCCCGAGTTCCGTACTGCCACTGGACCATCTGGGCCCCCTCCTCAACTGCCTCCACCGCCTCCCAAACCTGACTCTCCGAAATCCATTGGATATGGGAAGGGAAAAGTAGTGATACGGGAGGGTATGGTTGAGGCTATGCGCTCATTAGAATTCAAGAGTCTCCCGCCGACACCCCATGATTTCCCACGACAGCCTCCATCGCCATCACCTACTGACCATTCCCGCTTTTGATTACATTTACATTTCTCTTATTGTCTTAATATAATATAGATCCTTTTCATTTTTAGTTTGTTACGCTGGTCGAGCCCCTCTACCCTTTATCAAGAGGACCCCATATGATATCCCCCCACACACTCACCGCACGCGCCGCACGCACAAGCATTCCATTACCTCTTTTTTTTTTTTTTTTTTTTTTTTACTACCTCGTCTAACTCTTGTGGGAGAGAAAGTATGAGAAACTTTTTTATAACTCTCATTAACCCTCCCTCTTTTTTTCTTCTTTCTTTTATTTTTGCCTACTTGTTATTATCTGCAACTCAGCTTATCCTCTCGATAAGGGTGGGCATGTATGTTCTATTGCTCCTCTCGCAAATTATCGTGTTTTCCGTATCTCTCCTGCAGTTTTCTGGTTTGAACACTCCGTATTCGGTTTTATCATACACCTGTCTTTCCGGGCTTGACTCCCATTAAATTTCTTTTGTTTTTGTGACTCTTCGTTCAAAAAAAAAGAGAGAATAGAAAATAAGAAACCCCTCGTCAGGTAAATATAAAGCTGTTGTGCCGGGAGTCAAATTTCGGTGTCAGTATTTCCTTTCTTCACTATTCTTCATTAGCACACATGTACATGTACATGTACATTCCTTATATTTTTCCAACCCTCATTTTTCCCTTATTTTCTTTTACCTTGTTGGTTCTTTTTGTTTCTACTTACTACCTCTCTTGCACCTTGCATGGAGTATATAAACATATCATGACTGAATTGACTGATTTATCATCGGGGAATCGGGAAATGGGAATAGGGAGGAAGGAAACACCTGGGAGGGAGAAGGGAGCTAGTTGGGATGAGCGCGGACGCCTCCTAGGAAACGGAAACAGAAGAAGGGGGACAAGGCAGGACAAGGCAGGACAAGGCATGCATGGGGGTGGTGGGATTTTCCCTCGTCCTTGCTTTCATTTTCACTCAACACACCACCACCATCACCACTACTACTATACTACTACTACTACTACTACTACTACTACTACTACTACTACTACTACTACTACTACTACTACTACTACTACTACTACTACTACTACTACTACTACTACTACTACTACTACTACTACTACTACTACTACATTACATATCATTGCTAGGTTATATACCAATCATGATTAGCCTTGGGTTTGTCATATCGCCTTTTTATTCGTTCTCGGTTTTCTTTTTCCTTTTCTTTTTCCTTTTCTTTTTCCTTTTATTTTGGGGGCATCCGCTTCGAATTATCTGACGGCTTAAATCCCCCCCCCCTCCGGTCTTCTTCTCTAAATATTCCCCTCATTTCTTATGTTGTTTGGGTTTGCGATGCGGCATAGCCTCTTTCAATATGTTGTGTGCCTTGTTTCCGCCTGGTTTTCGCTGGTGTTTACATTTCGTTCCCGCTTGATACTCCCCTTGGGTTCCATCATCATAGCATTTCTTTTTTTCCTGGTCAGGGCTCTGTGTTTTTATTGTATGGATTCTTCCCCCCCCGCTCTCCCCCCGCTCCCCCCCCCCCCCCCTTCCTTCGGTTTGTTTTGTGGCAGAAGCCTCATAACTAAAGGCATTAGATATACAGGAATAAGGGAAAAGAGAAAATCAAACTTCTTTGCTTTATGTCCCTAGATCTCTTCAATTTATACTTATCAACTACATTATCATCGGTTCTACGTACTCTGTCGAGCAATTTACATGCCGGCCTACTCGCTTTTTACTTTGTTCTGAGCCTTACCTGCCCCGGAATACCTACCCTCCGTTCGTATAATTAATACTTAAGATACGGCATCATAATTACGTTAAAAAAATAAACGGAGATGTACCCCTCCCCTTAGCCATGTCAAATACAGGGAGAGTAGAAGGGCAAGCCGAGAAGCAAGACAGAAAAGGACATTGAAAGCAATGACATCGCGGATAGAAAAATGGGAGTAGGGAATTTCAGGGCGAAAAAAAAAAAAATAACGACCCAATTTTCCCCCCTTCCCATCATTCTCCGTGACGTCCAATCTGATCACGCTCTCGAGCCTAAGACGCCCTTCACTTCCCTCTTGTCGACTCATCGACTCGTGTGTATGGGGATTTAGGAGGGGGGCTGTTTGATGTATCGCTTCGAATACAGAGCCTATTTAACCCCGCAGCAAAACAAAACCTGCAACACGACACTTTGCGTGACGGGCGAAGGAATGGGTTGTGCGTGGTTAAATTTCAAGACATGGTATCTCGCCTTGTGCTCCACCTTGCGTAGCGAAATGGGGAAGGATGAAGGGGAAAGAAGGTGATATAAAATGGCCAAAAGGAATTGAAGGATTGGTTTGACTGGTTGCGAAGTAGGAAGATGATGATGGAAGGGGAAATTGAAAAAAAAAAAAAAAAAAAAAAATTATTAACTGTATTTCTTTCGCACAGGTATTTGGGCTCTAAACAGGAGCTATTTGGTTTGGGTTCTCGGTTTCATAGACTATGAAGACATTCGTTGGATTCGGTGTTGACGACAGAGTGAAGGGGAACCGAGACAAAGGGTTGAAGGCAGATAGACCATGGGGCATCTATAAGAGCAGACATGCCTAGGAGAATATTCCCTTCTTTTGTGGGCTCCGAAACGCGTCGATTGGCCGTCTGGTTCCTGCCATACCAGATAAAACCCTGTCCATGCCCTCGAGATCCAACTCTCCCTTCCTTAGCATAAATTGGTCACCTTCAACTGAATCGTTCAGGACCTTTTGGAAGGCGGATTCAGATTCCGCTGGTCCCGGTGCTGATGGTTTCGGTGTCAGTATGATGAGTTGATGCTCGGCCGTTATCAAAACATCAGGGATTAAAGGTTTGTTGCCCCCTTTATCGGCCGAGGATGAAATATTGACCAGCTGAGTGATTCCATTTTGAGTTTCTCCGAGGAGGTTGAGATTGTCAATTGGAATTGGTCTGTAGCGACTTGAAGGATTGAATGGACCAGTGGGTTTGGCGCTGTTTCGCCACAGAGATAGTAAACTGGGAATCCGTATATTTTGACCACCATGCCAGATGAGAATCGATTCATCAGGAAGTCCGTCCTTTGAAATGTTGGTCATAGTTACCGAAATACCACCTCTGGTTGAGGATGCTGATGTGGTGTTAGTTGGAGAACCCTTGAAGAGAGTGTCTTCTCTGAGACGACGGGTTGATGGAGTCATAGGTGCAAAACTGGATCGAGTGTCTGTGACTGCTCCCGATATAGGTGGCTTTGAGGTCGGTACAGGTCCGGATATAAAGCCAGAGACCGCAAACGATGTCACTGAACCGCCTCTAGTGAACGACGTATTTTGATCGTGCGAAGTACTCGTATAATTTTTGCTCCCAGGGCCTGCTCCCTCTGGATCCCAGATACCCCACGATCCATCTGATAGAAGGACCATTACAGCCTTGCCCCCAAGGACCCATGCTGCATCCACTACAGGTTTTCGTCGGGGAATGCCTATGGAATTCTGGCAGAACTCTGGAGAAAGAGTAATTAACCATGCGCCATCGGCTTCTTTGGGGTCGGTGTCACTGGACAGCCCACGCCTGTCAGGAGGGGTTTTTCGAGATGGTGACGCCAGGCAAGAATAAATTTTAACGCTGCCGCTGGAGAACGATACAAGAAGATGCGAGTGGCAATCTGAGGGATATTGGGAAGGATTGAATGAAATAGATTTTGCTGGAAACGGTAGTAGCAGGTGCTGTATTGGGAGAGCAGGCTCTGGTGGTAGAATCAGGGAATCTTTGGGCTGGTCAGGCTGGTAAGTGATAGGAACCCGATGGATCGAAAGAGTGCCAGATCCTTCTGCGGAATTTATAGCTACTAGAATATCCCAAGCGTTATCAGATCCGGAATCGGGGAAGTCCTTAGTGCCGTGGGTTCGGCTCTGAGATCTGTATCGATTACCAGTGTTGCCCGGCTTTCGCGCAGTGACAGTGATGGCAACTCCTACTGGAATGGCCTGAATGGATCCAGCGCTCAGTGTAACGGTTTGAAGCCCCCACGTTGAACTATCTTCAGGGTTTGAAGGAGGTGTCAGGGGTATGGTGAGAAGTCGGATAGAACAATCAGCGCAAGCAGCTGCAAAAACCGCAACATTAGAGAATATCTGTGGATACGACTCTAGTGTTGATCGGAGCTGTTCTGAAGAAAAGGTCGGGACCGCCAGCCCTAGCACTTTCCCTCCGAGTTGGATATCAATATGGCGCAGTATATCATGAAATGGGCGCGAGGGATCGATCTCGTCCTCTTCGGCTTCGAATTCCACAGATTGTGTATTATCTTTTTTAGCTTCTGGGGCAGGTGTTTCTTCATCTGAGTCAATTATCATGATAACGTCCTCGTTTGACCTTCCGTTCGGCTTTGGTTGTTTTTGCTCCTCTGCCTGAGGCTGCTGTGATTTAAAAGCTCTTCCACCTCTCCACAAGATCCGAATTCCAAGGTCGTGGCCATATATTATTATAGTAGAGCCATTAGAAGATTGTATAGGATAGGTTTTCGTATCGTAGACTCGATGCGGCAGCTGGTAACTATTTTTCTCGTTAGGTTTAAAGGTCAAGGAAATTGGAGTGATGCAATAGCTTAGATTTTTGTGAGGTACCTTAGCTGCCATCCATTATCTCTCTGTCGGACAACAGGGTCGAACGAAAGGCTCGACATTCTTTGTCCCCCTTGTTTGCCAGCTGGAAAGAGGAGAGCTTAGGATAAGACCCTCTGCAAGATATCTGCGTGAAAAGAATCGCACTGGGTAGCTGGGTCGATGGCTAAGCGCACGCAATTGTTGTCATTTCTCTTAAAGGAAATAAGGAGTCGTGAGAATCGTGATTGAGCTTTTCGTGTAGCGGTTCTTAGAGGATTATTACAACCTGTTGGCTGCGTTGCGTTCAGTGTTCTGTTAGCTGGTGAAATGTTATTTAAAATGTAGTTGGGAGTTCGCCACAAGGTTTGGAGAAGTCGCGCTTCGCGTCTATTTACACCTGAAAATATTTAATACAGCCATGGGAACAACCAACAACCGCCATTCGCCCAGCCCGGAAGCTTCAGTACCACAATCTCTTTCCTTGACGTGAGAATGGGTATGCTCCAAATGCTATCCTCACCGGCCGGAGTTGCTTCAGGGGAAATTTTACCGATCCGCCTCCAATAATGGCCTCAGTCCGCTCTCTGGGCCTCCACGAGCCCGTTGCAATACCATACCTCGTGGCCGAGTCGAAGCTGCCGGCAAACCCCTCTGACGACCAGTTTGTTTGGAAAATATGCGCTGTCGATAATGGAACTGGAAGTCTACTGGAGGAGGAGATAATATTCACAAATAATTACGTTGTTTGGTCTCGAGGCGGGGTAGTTAAAAGGTCATTCAGCTTTGATATCGAGAAGGAGGAAATAATTGACGCCTTATTTGCGACATTCCCAGCTAGCTCGATTGAAGGAGAAAGTACAAGGACTTTTGGGAAGAGCCCAACTGCCGAAAACCCATCCCGCAATGGAATTGCTGCAGCGAATGATTATTTACAAAACAATCTAACAGGGAGGAAGCGTCTCCAGGAAGGAGGCAAGGTGGCGTCACAATCGGGGGCCATTCCTACACTCGCTGTTGGCGATGGATATGTGGAAAGCAATTTACGTAGAGCATTGGTTGTGGTTTTGAAATCCCAAGCTCACGTATTTTTTGTCAACGGCGACTCTCATGTTGTGCCGTTGCCTTTCGAAGTTGACGCCGTCTGGGCTACACCACGGGGCCTGCTGCTTCAGAGGAAGGTCACAGGAGAGTGGAAGAAGACGGTGCCAGCGGCTCCGCCGAACTCCTTCGTTTCTTCGCATACCAAATATCAGAATTCATTCACCCTTTCCGGTGGGAGTGGTGCTCGGCCATCTCTTACGTTATCTCCCGCTCAGCCATTAAAATGGATTCCGAAAATGTATGATAATACTTTTCTTCCTCGAGTGTTTTGTCTCGTGGACCCTCATTCTGAGATGGGATTGGTTGTCGCTAGCAATCCTTCTCTATCCACACAAGATAATGGTGCAAGTTTTGATGCGCTTGATCCGATGGAAGAAGTACTGTATGTCTCTGCGAAAGATGAGGCCGCGAATGGAAATGCTAAAGGCCCCGATAAATATCCCTTATTATTCGTCGTGACATTGAACGAAAAGTCTGGAATGTATACTATCTGGACCGCCCGCTACAGGGACAAAGATTCCGCGCTCTCCAACTCTAAAAAGCGAATGTCAACTGTGGGTGGGACACATTCGAAGAGACGAAGCTCCCACTTTGATATGGTAGGTGTCAATACACCGGTTGGTCGGGGACCAGCTGGGCTTCGCGAAAGTTTTGGCGGATTAAATCATGGCCGATCTGTATCGGATTTGTCCAAACCAAACCAAAAGCCTAATACCGACGATGAAGAAGATTTTGCGTCTCAACTTGGTCACGAGTTTGACGACATTGGTGTTTCTATGAGGGCATCTCGAAGAGTGAGCTCATTGCTTTCTCGTGCAGATCTGGCAGCGAACAATGACAGGACAACGTTTTCGGACCTTGTGACTGGCACCCAGAATGCTTCATCGTTCTATGGAGGTAGGCGGGGAGAATCGTTCGGCGGCCAAACCGGTCGTTCAAGCTTCGGATACCACCACAGAAACTCGTTAACTCAAGGAAGCACTTCAATCTATAGCAACGGCAGTAGTTTCCTCGATGCCCCTGTTGATAAATTTTTAGAAAGCTTAAACAACGGGGGTGACTTTGAAGGATTCGATAGCATGGGCCTGAGAGAAACTATATCTGGTCTACCGAGAGGGCTGATGCTTGTAAAAGTAGACAGCTTTTCGTCCGGATTGCAAACTACCCGGAGTACATCAACTTTCCCCAGGGACCGGAAATTTGAAGTGTTTACGATCTCTTCGTACCAGGACACATCCTCGGAGTCACCTGATTCGCTTTCAATTGCTCTCTGCATACTTAACAAGAATTTAAAGAACCTGTCCGTGGTAAGCCTTCTTGCGACCAACACAAGTTCTGAAGCGCAGCCCAAATCGCGTGTTAGGAAGGAAAAGAAAAGCCACGGTTTAAGTGACCGAGGCTTCACTGTTCGTGCTACAGGCGTCCTGAATGGACCCAATGTTGTGGACTGCTGCAAATTGGTGGATGAAGACGTATCGCGGATACTTATTTTATCCTCAACGATCGACGGTCGAGGGGAGTTGACATTACAAGCGCCCTGGAGTAGCCTTGTTAAAGTCGAGCTTCCGTCAAGTATGATGATTTATGGGCCACACGGAATGTCAATTACCAGCTCTCCGAATAGACCACGAGAAGGGAGTTTGAAGAGAGTTTTAAGCGACGGCTCATTTGACCTGTGTGGGCTACTTCATTCTACGAATAGGGGCAAGGTTGACGTGGTTGATAAGAAAGGGCGGAAACACAGGATTCAGATACAACTGGAGCCGCATAATCCCCGTGTCAAGCAGATCCTTGACGTCTGCAGGTTTGTGCTGCGACGGGCACATAACGCCGGGGATGGAATTCTTGTTGGTTGGTGGGAAGTTTTGAAATGGTTGCAGGCAAGAAGGGAGGGGGATAATGATAACGATTTAGAGTGGACTGCAATGGTGGTTGTGCTATTTACAATGGGGGTTTATTTTATCGAAGGCAATCATTCAAAACCTGCAACGAGACCTAAGCGAAGAAAAGCCGAGTTTCTACGATCTAGTAGTGGAAGTTCCATTGACCTTGACAACTGGGATAGTATGTTGGACCAAGAAGCTGGATCGCATGGTGTTGGGTCGTCTTGGATGATGGGTTCCGCTTGGGGCTGGGTTTTGGAAGAGGATTTGAAGCCTACCGAAGAAATCTCCTGGGGAGATCATCGACCCGGCCCTGAGGCTGGAGCCATTCCCCGAAAAAATGCTTATATTCTCCGTTGTGCGGCGTTATCCCGGGAATTTCTTTCGTCTCCCCAAGGCGAGGCCGCAATCGGTGCGGAGGGCTATCTTCCAACTGCAGTTTCTCGTGACCCCGACACAAGACGAACTACTCTTGGCACGATCTTAGTGGGACTACATTTGTTTCGCGAGGAGCAAAAGTTGTCTACTATCAATGCAGAAACTTCTTATTCAAAAACTGGCCTTCTCGCCCCTGTCCTAGCACAAATCGGTGGATGGCTGGGGTGGGAATCCTGGGATTGGAAGCGCAATGGATATTACAGCGTAGAGATGGCTAGTATAGATCGATGGGCGTTTGAAGAATCCAGGATTTCGGCTTTGGACTTACCGGAAGAGCCTTTTCCTCCCCCTTCGATACTCTCATTTGTTGAAAAATCTCTGAACCATGAACAAGCGAAATTTCTGACGATCCTCGACGTCGTATCAAGTTCCGCACAGGCAGCTGGCCGGGATTCTACCCTGCAGCAAGCTATGAGGCTCACACCCCGGACTTTGGCATTCAGTGGCTTCATTTCGGAACTAAAACCACAAACTACGGTTGAAGACCGGGTGGAACTGTTGCTTCGCTGGGGTTTAACGAGTTCTGTAATTGATACCCTTCCAGACGGCATCAGTGTTCCTCTTCACGAAGCTATTGTTCGGTGCCAGCCGGCACCCCCGAGTCACTGGGGGAGTTCACTGCTCGCATTGATCGACAGAGACGATCTTTTCATGTCGATGACGGAAGACAGGGCCAGCTCTCCAATGTCAAGGTCTCCGTTTATTCAATCCCATGATGCTGCACGTGATGTTCATTCGATTGGGAATCCGTCGCTCGATGGGACTACTGTGAATTCCTTCGAAGTTTCCGCGGAAGCCGATAGGCAGTCCATCACGCGACTTATTTTCCGCGAGGATCGACGCTTTTATGAGGCATTCAGGATCTTGAATCAAATGAAACCCCCATACGCAGAATATGTACCGGCCCCGGGTTTGTCTGAATCGGAAGTCCTTGAGGCCCAGAAGGAATTGGTTCAGCTTGTGGTCTTGCGGACTTTGTCAGTACCTGCTGGTAGAGCAATGATTGGGTTTAGTGGCAGGGTACCACTCTTAACTGAGAAACTACCAATACCCGCTTTTTCCTTGCAGTGCGTTATGAAACCGTCGAATGTGACAATTAGTGCTGAAAAGTCCGCTTTCTCGGAGGATAAAGCTTGCTGGGCATTCTTTCACAATGGGGCGTCAACTGGACTCGCTATATCGAAAGCTGCGAAAGGCATTGATACGTCCTGGATATTGTATAATAAACCAATTGAGCTAACGAATAGACACGCTGGATTTTTGCTTGCGCTGGGCTTGAACGGACACCTAAAGTCTTTGGCAAAATGGGTCGCCTTCAAATATTTGACTCCTAAACATACCATGACCTCCATTGGTCTTCTACTGGGGCTTTCCGCTTCCTATCTCGGCACCATGGATACTCTGATAACACGCCTGCTTTCAGTTCATGTAACCCGAATGTTACCTCCAGGCGCCGCGGAATTGAATCTGTCCCCATTGACACAAACTACAGGAATTATGGGTATTGGGTTGTTGTACTGCAACTCCCAACACCGGCGGATGAGTGAAGTCATGCTGTCGGAAATGGAAAATACAGACCAGGAGGAGCCATCTGTCTCCCATGACATTCTACGGGGCGAGGGGTATCGTCTGGCCGCAGGCTTTGCTCTAGGCTTCATAAATTTAGCCAAGGGGAGTGATTTAAGAGGGCTCCGTGATATGCATATCGTGGAAAGATTACTAACTCTTGCCGTTGGGACCAAAAATGTGGACGTTGTTCATATCCTGGATAAAGCCACCGCCGGTGCTACTGTTGCACTGGCAATAATATTCATGAAATCAAACGATGCGGCAGTCGCTGAAAAGATCGATATCCCCGACACGGTTGCTCAGTTTGACTATGTGCGGCCTGACATCTTCCTGCTTCGAACATTGGCTAAACACCTAATAATGTGGGATTCTATTACTGCCAGCTATAGATGGATTAAGAACAATATTCCATCTATTTATAAGCGCAAATATCGCCTGATGACAATTCATCATTTGAGCACTGATGACATGCCATTTTTCAACATTGTTGCAGGGCTCTGCTTTGCTATTGGGCTTCGATTTGCCGGTTCTGGTTTACCTCAAGCACGCGACCTTCTTGTTTCCTATCTTGATCAGTTTAAACGGATATCGCGGTTCGCTGTGCATAACTACGATGAGAAGCTAACTCGCAACGCAGTTCGCAATTGCCAGGATATTATTGCATTATCTGCAGCTGCTGTCATGGCTGGAACTGGAGATCTCATAGTGTTCCGCCGTCTTCGATCACTTCACGGCCACGTTGGTGGAGACATTCCATATGGAAGTCATATGGCAGCACACATGGCTATTGGTATGCTGTTTTTGGGAGGTGGAACATATACGCTGGGTACTTCGAATCTTGGGATCGCAGCTCTACTGTGCTCCTTCTATCCCGTATTTCCCACCACTGTTCTTGATAACAAATGCCACCTTCAAGCCTTCCGTCATCTTTGGGTCCTCGCGGCGGAGCCAAGGTGTCTTATTCCGCGCGACCTTGACACACGGCGTGCGGTAACAATTCCGGTGTCCGTAACACTCAAAACAGGCGAGAGCCAAGTTACAACAGCGCCATGTCTACTTCCTGATTTAGATGATCTCGCAACTGTAAAGATACAAAGCCCGGATCACTGGGATCTGACTTTGGACTTTGCTGGTAACCCAGATCTCAGGGATAAATTCCGCTTGGGTAACCAATCTGTTTACCTCCGTAGGCGAGCAGTTTACAATGCGTCTTGCACCTCAGAATTTTCTTCATCCCTGATGGCACTGAGCGACGTTCAGGATATCCCTTCGTCTTCGGTCCCGGGTTACTCTCGGACAGTAAACGCTGTGCCGAGTGCAGCAGCATCTATCCTGTATTCCCAAGGCAAATCATCTATTCAGGTCCGATTCCCCGCGCGTCACCTCTGGGAGTGGATTTTCAATCTCCCTGCCTTCCGAATTCTTGATATGGGTGACAAGGCGCTAGTGATACCCTCACTGCCATCTCAGCAACCAATTACGATTTATGCCAGGGACCAATCCAAAATTGTTATTGAGTCACCTTCCTGGTTGCGTCCAAGTGCGGTGGATACGAGACTGGTACTTGAAAAGACGGTCCAGCATTTGGTGGCGGCTGCAACTGGCCAAGGCGGCGGGGATGACACGGTCAAAGACCGATTATGGCAACTCAGACTCCTTTTCGCATGGCTGGACTCGAATGACGACCTGGGGAGAAGAAAATCCGCTACGGGAGAAAAAGGTAGCTTCAACACCTTCAAAGGGATGTGGCTTAGGACCGATATTATTGAGGATGCTCGATGGAGGGTGTGGGGCGTTCAAGTGGGCGACAACGATACTAGCGGACAACTAGTCGAGGTTGCCGAAGTGAGGAAGATGTGACTGACATGAAATTCTACAATTGATAAGAAACACTGGGTTTCCTCTATTCCCGCCCAGAACTTCATAAGCATGAGCTGGGAAGCCGTGCCGAGCTTCTTTGCTCATATTTACCCTTTTTCCCCGTTCTGTGCGACGGGTAGAAGCGAGCCGCCCCATATTAGTCCACCACTGTTAACTTCCGGGAAAGTGGAGCTGTGCTTAGGGTTGTGGTTGATTTGATATATCTCTATTTTACGGGAGATCCCAACGACATGTGCATGAGATAACATTGTTTGTGTGTAACTATATAGTTATTCAGAGGTATTTTACCTACCTCGGGAGAGTTATTCGTTTTCATTTGCGCTACAAGAGAATTAAAATACCCACTGAGCGAATTCGTATATTCAAAACTTTTTTGTACCAAGACCCGGAAATATCCTGCTTTCGAAAAAGAAAAGAGAAAAAGAAAATAACAGGCTCCATTGCGCCTTGCCCTGGGATATCTTTGATTTACCCATGCAAGCCACCAGGGCTGAGTCAGTTCGTCCCTTCGTCCCGCCGGTAGATTTCCCAAAGCGGAATAAATTGCCAACAGTCCCCTGCGAAGGCTTCGATTGATAAGATGGACGGCTGGCCCCAAACCAGGTACATGGCGCGTTCTTCCTGATGCCTCCAACCTGATGACTCCAGCCATGTATACAGCTTTGACAGAATACACATGCTGAGCCTCTTGGAGACCATTGCTGAACTCGCAGATTTCCACCACAGACTATTAGTTGAGACGGAGCCAACTATGGCTCACTAGAAAGGAAAAACTCCCCGCAACAAGGTGAACGGACGACTGACTGAAGCTGGGGGGAAGTCTGGTGCAAATGACCCGGCGAGAAAGAAAGCAGCCCGAGAGCCGACGACGGACCGGTTGCTGGAGATGTAAAGGTTCGTTCAATGTGTTCGTTCTTCTCTATCCTCTTGCGTTCATAAACTGACATGAGAGGCTGACGTTAGAAAAGCATGTCCAATGCACCGAGGAATGGCCGGTATGCAGCCGATGCGAGCGACTGAACCTGCACTGTGTTCGTGGCCTCAAGTTGCTCCGGAGAGAGGATGCGGCTCAGAGGGGCATACGCTTTGGCCGGGAGGGTATGCTCTGACCTTTCGATGCTTCCTCCTCTAGGAAAACATGAGCCGGAACAAGTTTCAAGAGACATTCACTGACCAACTGCGCATCAATTCTCTATTGTTAGGAACATGGTCAAAAGGCTCTTCGAAGGCCGTAACACCTACAAAAGTCGAAATTGGTCATGAATTCCAGCCTGTCTCCATTGACCAGTATGCAGGTCGATGGCTATTTTTGAATACAACATACTGGGACTTTGGCGTAAACGGGGAGGAGGTAGCTAAATGCTCGTTGACATAGTTGATAGAGGTTGTTCAGTCTTTGAATGGTTTGGTCCAGCCCTCCCCACACCGGCCCCTGGGCCATCCATTAGCGCAGTGTTCGTCGGTCGAGAGTTTCCTGCTTGTATTTCATTCGGGGTATTGCACCTTTCTGCTCACTCAGCACGGGATTTAACCCCTATTTATCTCTCGTCACGCCGCTGGCTTTGAATTATCAACAACCCCACGAGCCGCTGAGAAACATCCTCCTTGCCATTGCTGCGAACCAACGTCATCTCCTTGGCGACAGTACCTATGAGCGGGAGGCATTTTATTTCAAGCAGAAGGCGCTACATGGCTTGCAGAATGAGACTAACCATAGGAAACCGAGTGCTGGAGCAGTTGCGACGGTATTGATGCTCTGTTTCCTTGATGCAAGTACACTGTAACCCTTCCTTGCCTGCTGCCTGTGCTGTTAGAGGGTGTTTTAATAATGTTCTTTTAGATAACCGATGGGTGTACCCCTTCATGGACAACACATCTTCGTGGGGGCCTTCAGCTCATGGAAATGTTTCCACATCAAATGTGTGAAAGTGAGACGCTGAAGAGGTTCTTCGTGATGTATTTTGTCGCTCATTATATTATGGGTTGAACGGGCGTGGAAGATCCTTCGGAGGTGCCACAAGTAGCTCATTCATGGCTTGACGACGATGACCTTGAGGAGGTATGCATATTTCCTTTACATCGACAGGATAATATCAAGTGTCAGAGTCGTATCTAATGTTTCTTTGACCTGAAATGCTTTAGATTGACGTATTGATGGGTTGCTCGCGGGGCCTCATGACATTAATAAATAAAATATCAACCTTAGGAGCAAAGAAGTCAAAGGTAATATCCCAATCAACAAATATATTATTGTAGCAACAGACCTGTATGCTGAAAATGGCCTTGAAGGCGATGAAAACCCATCAACTCACACTGCAAGAAATCTCAAATTTCAATACAGCGAGGATTGATATCGAAGCCGAATTACGAGTTCTCCACCAAAAGCTACCAAGCTACGCCTCCCTCCAAGAGGACCTCTTACGGATTGCCGAAACAAAGAGGCTCGCAGCGATTCTATACCTGCGCGAACGCCTGGGGAGCCCGACTGGTCTTTGCTATTTTTATCCCGTTGAGAAGTTTTCTCCTCACCAAGATCATAAACATAAGCATAATAATAGCATCAACTCGCCGCTTAGCCACCAAGCCACTACACTAAGTGTAGTGGAGACATCACCATCAGGATTCAAAGCCCGAATCGTCAACATGATAATAAGCCTTATGGAGAACCTACCCGATTCCCCTACGTTACTCTGGCCACTCTTTATTGTAGGCACTGTGGGCCTGGATGATGAAGCGCATCGCCGTTTTGTGCTCGACAGATTGACGAGCATTCAGAAGACGCGCAACTTGGGTAGTGTTCGAAGGGCGTGTATGGTCGTTGAATGTGCATATCGGGCAAAGGATATCCATTTCCCGCGAGGTAAGGTTTGGGGAGATGAAGGGCCAGGGGTTATTAGTTTGGCATGATATATACCATTCTCTCCCCCGTCCAGGCCATTTGGAATTCCCGTATACCTAGTGAAATTAGTTTCTCCTTCAACATTGTTGAAGTCGGGATTCCCCGTAGGCTAGGCTGGGGCTTTTTATGCTTCCCTTACGTCTTCTTCTATTTTCTTCTTTGGTTTTTAGTTCTAGTATCTCCCTCCATACTTTCTATCAAGTTCTCACTTTTGATTTATACCTTGCTCTTCTTTTTTATTGTTTTTATTTTTATTTTTATTTTATTTTTAAGAGAAGTCCTCTTGCTGTTTTTCTCTCGTCTAAGGTTCTTTGGGCGGCGTTTACAAAAACAGGATACAAGGGCATATATATTCAATACATAACAACTCATATCCTCTAATAATTACTATCAAACCCAACCTAGTACCTTATTGCTATGTAGTCTAGCCTGGTTGCATATATTTTCCATGGAGTAAATACGTACGTAGGACATATCATGAGCCATCTGCGTGGCGCAGGCAGTATTTACGTTATGTTTAGAAATGACTCTCTCTCAACTTTTCTTCTCAAGCTCACTGAGGAATTCGGTTTAAGCCGATGATATATTCTATGGAATGAGAGCGTCTTAGTATCTTCTCTATAGATGGATCTAAAAACGGATACGTTTGCGTCCGTCTCCATCCGTTCCAATTCTGCCTACCCCCCGATTTCCCATGATTAAAAGTAAAAGAAAAAAGGCCAAATTTAGTTATAGATATCGACACATCTCCATGGCTCCCCCACCAGCCAGGCCGTGGCCATTTCCTGTCTGAGATCCGTTCATAACGTCAAACACCATTGCCATCCCACTTGCCAAATGCCACAGGATATGGCAGTGAAACAGCCAGATGCCTGGATTATCAGCGCGAAACCGTAGGACGGCATGTCCCCGTGGTGGTATTTGCACTGTATCTCGCAGCAGGGCTCTAGCAAGGTCCATCGAAGTTGGTCGGTATTGTTGATGCTGTTGATGAGGGCTGAATGGGTTATATGAGCCCCATCCACGAGATGAGGAATGGATAGTGAGAATGAAGAAGTTGTGGCCGTGCTGTTTTTTGTTAAATTTAGTGTTTGATCGATATTGGATTCCTGGATTGGGGATAGATGTTGGGCTGGGACGCGAAAAGGGACACCATTAGGCTTGGAGCTGAGGAAGGAAGGATATGAATGTCTAGAATCGCCTTACAAGATGAAACGGATGTGGTCCTTCGTCTAGATTATTAACGACAAGGTCGACCCAGACGGGCTTACTCCCTGTCGAAATCGCGAACTGGTTTTTATCCCAATGGTGCGGATCAAGGTCGACCAGAGGGTGTGGAGGGTCTGATTGCGGACGCCATGATGTCTGATTAAAGTAACCAAAAGGCATGTTCTGGTTCTTCGACATTTGGGATATCTTTGTATATATAACGTAAGTCTGCTGGGCTTCAGGCGGAAGGCCGGAGAGCACCGCCGCAGTGGATGAAACCTGAGTGAGGTTAATGTGAGTACTTGAGCGGATATGTAGGGGCTGTGGACTGTATGTTTTAATATTGTTTGAGTTGGCGTTGTATATCGGAATGGCTTGGGCAGAAGAGAGTGCTGGGTTGGGATATTTGAAACAACTGAAATACTGTCAGCTGGAGGGTATCAAAGGAGAGGAAGTCTTTAGGTGAGGGTTGACTCATACTCAGGATCCAACTCCACGGTGAGGGAGGACTTCCCTCGCGCGTTTTGATGGTGCTGCAGGATAAAATCTACTCGTTGACCTGGATAGAGAATTCCTATAGACTTCGAATTGGATGCCTTTGACTGTTTAAAGTGCTGCACATCCAAGCCTCCGTCAACATGGGTAAGGCTTATATTCCCTTGGGAAAACCCAAGAGAAAACCCTGCAAGAGATCTAAGTCATCGCATTAGAAAAAAGCTACATCCTTCCTTAGGATCTAAGAGAGAATGCCCACCCGGTATTCACGACTCGGACCCGGTATGACTGGGTAGGGTCAATCATAAAATGAGGCATGGGAGTTTTACTGGAACAGTCGATAGGACGCGCTGGGACTGCCCTGGCGCAATCAAAGCGACCGACTCCATTGACGAGAAGAGAATCCGGTACAGGCTGGAAAATATCATTATCAGTTCTGCCTAGATTAGAGTATAAGAGGGAGATGTAATGTTCATACTTCATTCCCGTATGAGGCTGCCCGCATATACCATTTCAGGACATCGTCCGCGGGCCTATGGTACCAATCCCCAACCAGTAGGAGAATTTCTTTCTGATACTTATATTTCAAGATATCTGATTCCGCGTTTCGGGATTGAGTTCCTCGAATAGCTTTTGGTGACGGTCGATGAACCACCAAACCACCGTATAGACCATCTGCTCTCTGCAAGCCGGAATGAGCGTGATACCTGAGTAACTAGACATCAGTACGTTGCTTATACATATGTACAGTACATACAGACATGGAATTTTAAACCGTACCAATACGTTCCGCTTTGCGAATCGGAAATAGTAAAATCATAACGAAAGGAATCTCCGGGGTTGATAGCACACTGGGTCACTCCTACTGTGCCATCCATTCGGTTTGCATCTTGACGATGTTAGCAACGCGAGAACCTCTAGTTAACTTACTGCGCTATTCAATGTTAAAAACAACCTCTCATATGCAGGCCATGCCAATGCACCGAGACACCCTCATCCTCCAAGCCATTTCTTACATCCACAATCAAACGATCTCCAGATCGGGCTTCAACGACCGGGCCTGGAAATTGCCCTGGTCGCGGCGGGTCGGGATGTCACTATCATGTTAGTCGATCGTAGATCGGCCTTCGCGCGCTAGTGGGGAATTGCCGTAGCCAAACAACGATAACTAACTAAGCAGGAGACAGACACACACCATTTACAAGATAGATGCGTTTCAGCACACCGTCAGGACGACGATAACCCGCAGTTACCGTCCAGTTGAGACGGATTGTTCTAACAGTCCGATAAATATGCGCCTCGGGATGCAACCTCTGAGCGCCAGGATGCTGCTGCTGCTGCGTCGGGCCTAGAACCCGGTTTTGGGACGAATAATACGGAGGAGACCTTGGGATTCGCAGAGCTCCCAAGAAGCTTACCACGAGAACTAGGAAGATGACGACAGACGCCAAGTAGCTTCTTGACCAACCTGCGGCTTGGCTACTTGTGTTAGCTTGAGCTGGCTGTGACGAAACTCTCGGAGGATCTTGGAGATCACCGCGTGGTTGGCGTATTCTCCGGCGGCTGGATGTTCGTTCCATCCGGGAGCTGTGTTAAAGCCGATGGAGATAGAGCCCAACGACCGGGGTTAAAAGAAAAGCTGACACAGACATGCACGTTGTACGGAGTACACAAAAAGCCCTCACACGCGGATCCTTTGCTGGCAGCACAGAGCAAAGAGTTTAGTGGCTACCCGGCTGCCTTTTTATCTCTTGCTGAGGGGTTGAGTTTACAGAGCAGCCGTCTTGCTGGCTTGCACTGCCACCTGAGGAACTCAATCTGACACCCTACCTTTGACGTCTAGAGAGAGCTTCTTAGCTTTCTTGGAAGCAGTTTCAAACATGGAGGCTGTATGCTCTAGTCTGCGTTTGCCCAGATCTGCGTACGTGTGATTGCTATTGCGCTCCTCTATCAAACTGAGCCGCCGTTCAAATGGTGCTGATTGATTAGCGGGAGGAGGCGGAAGTCAATTCTATATTCAGTAAAAAGTATTCCAAGGTTCTTACCTCCCCACACCATCCATTCCCCTTCGTGGAATATGAAGTGAATCTCAGATGTTATGGCTATATCTACCAAAGCTACAAATTTCTTTTCTGAAACCCATGCTCACTTTGCTAACACTCTAAGGAACACCATTTCGGTATCTTACAGTTTAGTCAGATGGCTTCTCGTTGGGTGAAACTAGGATTAGCTATTACTGCAGTATGCATAGCTTCTTGTTCGACTATGATATATTTCCTTTACTGACCATGAGTTTGCAATATAGCTAGCTGGTTTATTAACCGCAATCCTTTTGATTCTATTAATTGACCGAGGCGAACCCGTTCGAAGCTTGAAGGACATCGACCATGTCATTATATTTATGCAAGAAAATCGGTCATGGGACACGGTATGTTTCTATCAACGATAGCACTGTCGAGTGTTCGAAATCTAACTGAACCTCTAAGTATTTCGGAACTATGGCGGGCGCAAGGGGATTTAACGACCCCAACGTACAGATCAACCCGAATGGCCGTGCCGTGTGGTACCAGTCAGTTCCTTGCTGCCAGTCTATATCGAAATGATATAAACACTTACCTTTTATAGACCGGTTGATTCGAGCTTGTCAAATGACACAGACACCCTACTTCCGTGGTACTTAGGATATCTAGGCGGAAACTGGTCTCAGGCTATACAGTGCATGGCTGCTGGAAGCAATGGCTATACAGAAAATCACGCTTCCATCAACGGCGGCCTCAATGATGGATGGGCAAGGAATAATACACCATGGAGCTGGGGTTATCTAAAACGACAGGACCTACCTGTTCAGTTTGCAATTGCAGAAGGATGGACTATCGGGGATATGTATCAGGTATATGCCCCCCCTCGATGCTTTAGGAGGCAACGTTCGAGCCTAATGGTGGGATAGCAATCGCAAATCACTGCAACGAACCCGAATCGTGTCACCTTGGTTAGTGGGAGTATTAACGCACCTGGAAGCCCGCAGTCACCAGATGAAGGAGGGGTATATATAGATAATACCGAAACGCCAGGTGAGTTGTTCTGGACGGACTCTGCTCAGCGAGTGAACTTTTTCAGCTAAACTAAGCTACCAGGCTGTGAGGCTCCCAATCTCAACTGCTACCCTCTCAAATGGAAAACAATATTCGACATATATGAAACTGCAGGCGTTTCCTGGCAGGTTTACCAAGGAGTGGACAACTTCGATGACAACCCCTTGGCCTGGTTCGAGCAGTTCCAGAATGCATCCTCAGACTCAGCATTGTCAGAGAAAGGAATGGCGTATTTAGGACTGGAGGCTTTCTATGCAGATGCTGCCTCAGGTATGCTACCGCAAGTTAGTTTCATCATCGCCCCACGAGAGCTGTCCGAACACGCACCGTACTCTCCCTCTGATGGAGGTTGGCTGCAGCACAAAATTGTAGATGCTGTGGTTAAGGGACCAAAGTATGGTAAAAGCCTGCTCATGATTAGCTACGATGGTATCTTTTCTCCTTCCACCGTCGGCACATAAACCAAGCTGACCGAAGCTTCAAGAATCTGGCGGTTGGGGAGATCATGTCCCTCCTTATCACTCTCCAGAAAACACTCCTGGCGAATGGTTGGAGGACCCATATGGTCTTTTTGGAAACATATACACCGGCCCTGGTTCGTTCTTTTTCCCCCCTTACTGTCGACCGTCACCTCTCAAATACGCAATCGCTAGCTAGCCAAACTGCTATTAACCGCAAAACTAATAATCATACTATCAGGAGTTCGGGTCCCTTTCTACATCGTTTCCCCTTGGACCCGCGGGGGCCACGTTTTTACCGAACACGCAGACCACAATTCGCAAATCCTTTTTATTGAAGAATGGCTTAGTGCAAAAGGTTATGATAACATCAGGACAGACGGGATGGTGCCCTGGAGGAGACAAAACATGGCAAACCTGCTAAACGCACTGGATTTCGAGAACGTATGTCCCTGAAATACCCCCTCCATGATTAACTACTTGTGGGCCACACACAACACGCGCATATAATATACATTCTCTTTGCCTAACCATTTCTGGTATATCCCTATAGCCTGACCTCTCCATCCCTAATATTCCAAAACCCAAACCTCCCCACCGCGACTCCCGCGGCGAATTCGACGGCTCAGCCTTCTGCGAATCGCAGTTCCCGGACCCACGACCGCCTCCCCCATATTCCTCCCAGCCCTCCACGCTCCCCAACATTGTCGAAGAAGGCTATAAGATATGCACAGGCCAACTAACCGAGGGCCGCTATCTCGTTTTCGAACATGAAAACGGCCGCCTACTCTCCCACAACCGGCCGCCGCGTGCGGACGCAAATAGTGTCAATAACGACAACGCGGCACCAGAGCCATTAATAACGACAATGTCTTCGTCTAATAATCATAATGATAATAATAATAACAAGGAAAATAATGCAAAAACGGATAAATACCGCGCCCAATCTGCCCGGTGGGTCATCTATTACTATAACAATAACAGCACGGACATTGACGTCATCGCGACGAATCAGTCTGGTCCCTTTTTGTTATCGAGCTTTGATAGGGAGGTGTGGTTGGGGCGGGAGGGGAGGCTAGTTTCGAGGAAGGAGGCGGTGCCGGTCGATATTTCGTTTTCGGCGGGGAATAAGGATGGGAAGAAGAGAGGCTATTCGATAGCATATGCGTCTAATTCGTCGTTAATCGCCGGCGGCGGCAGCGGCGGTGGTGACACAGACAGTCTTTCTGGATATATTAATGTGGGTGGTGACGGGAGTGTAGGTGTGGGAGGGAGGAGGGAGATTTTCACGGTGGTAAGTGTTACGTATTATAATTGATGACGGTTGGTATACCCACGGAGGGGATTTTGAAAATGGTGTTAGAGAAACCGCCTTGTTTGCGCAAACATAGGATAAAATTCAGGGCACGGATTATATTGGAAGATATGGAGTTTGATTTTGGGGAGGGAGAGCTTGCTATCATGATAAATAGCAAGGAAAAGTATAGACCTGCTTATAATATGATTGACTGATAGATTGATATACTTTTTCTTCTTTTGTTTTCCTCTTAAGGAGAATGTTCATATTAGAATAGGTAACATGCTCCCAAAAGTTTACGGCGACGAGCTGTCTTCAAGGAGTGATTATAAAATAAAAAGAACAAGATAGATCTACATAGAACATATTTGGTCCATTGTTAGAAAATTAACTGTGAATTTTGACAGGCTGTGGCAGAAGAGTGGAGGACTAGATTATTGAGGGGGGTAAAATCTTGGGTATCTCTGGACTAGGCTTCCAGTATCTGGCAGTCCAATGGCAGACTGGCCACCTATTACAAAAAAACATTCTCGTCCTTCGTCTCTTAATTCTCTTCGTCAATAGGAATACGTCGCCTCAGGACAATCGTGGCCGTACTGGCCTTCCAGGTGTTAGGCGTTAGGCGCTTCAAAGACTTCGTCCAGCTCTTCCAGTGTGCGTCCCCGCAACAATCTCAAGGCAAACTGCCATGCCCGCTGTACAGCCAAGGAACATTTTGCAACGTCCAATTATATCGTGGCAGCGTGCCCCAACCATTGCGGGGATCCATCCCGTAATGGCGTAGACGATATTGAGGAGGAGCTTGGCGTCGGTATCGGTCACTCTAACGTTCTCAAGGAGGTAGGGAAGGTAGTACGATGCGACGCTAGGAGATTAATGTGTCGGGGGTCAGCCAAAATATAGACACTTTCTAGATACAAAGACGGCTTGTTATGGCCTTGGGATGTCCTTGGATTCGTTGGAGCATACTCGCTACCGGAGAATGGCCCAAACCACGAAAATGAGACATTGAGCATCGTCCTATACCGACGAGAACGGGATTTGAATAGTACTCGGATATCAAAAAAGTTTCGCCAGGTCAACATGTCTTCCTTGCTCAAAGACTCGGCCATTTCATCCATTTCAAGTTTAACCAATGGGTGGTTAAAATCACCGTTTGCGTGGTATTTGGCCAATATGGCCCTTGCCTTATCGTCGCGTTCTTTCCCCATCAACCTGATTAGTTGCTGCGATTAGTTTCCTGGTCTTCTCATAAAAAAGAGATATTTCACAATGCCATCTAGGATATTCAAAATAGAACCAAATCCCCAAACAAACGACTCTGGGGCAAAGCATTTGAATCCATAAAGGCACGCGCCAATCGCTGTTCCCCAGGTGCGCGAGGTGTTTATGATTTCCATAAACGGAGGATGTGGCAATTATGGAGTCCTATAAAGTGTCACTCTTGCACGGTTAAACTAATAGCTCAAGGTACACGGATTGCGAAGAGGGGTACAAACCACGTAGTAGAATGTGTTATACATGCCCGCAACCGTCGCGCGGTACTGGGGCGGCGCAAGGTCGATAATGTATAGCGGCGCAGCGGTGCAAGCAATGATGGCAAAAAATGATAACAAGAACCGCCCACTGGCTGTCGGGATAGTCGTGATACAGACACCAAAGCAGCCGAGAAAGATGGGTAGTTGTCGGCCTTTCCAGTCTGCTATCCAAATAAAGACAGCACCGATCATCTGGCCAACCTAGCGTTTGTGTCTTAGAAACCGCCTGTAGATATTATTCACGTGGGAACGGGGTTCCACACATTGAAGATGGCGAAGACAATCCCTGTGCCAGCATTGCCTGTTGGTGGGACTTCATAGTATTGACATAGTTGGGCAGAGTGTTTATACTACCCATCAAGTTGCCGTCAAGTCTTAGTATTTGAAATATATCATAAGCTCGGTTAGCGCTTTCCTAAAGGCATTTCACTCCATAGTCCTTGTACGGGACTTGTTTTTTTTTTTAATTCACACTGCTTACCGTTCATCGTTGATGTCAGAAAGACGAGGGCGCATAAGAGGCACATGCGGAGATACTCCTTTCCTAGCCAGTTGGGCTTGGAGTGCACCAATATGTCGACTAGCTTCTCATTGCCCAAGGTCTTGATAGCATCACCCGCTCCATCCTCATCTTCAGACATGGACTCGTCAATCTCCATCGTATATGGTTATTGTCAAAAGAGAATTGTAGAAAACGCCCCCCCCCCTCTCTCCTCAACACTGAATTGTAAAAATCGGAGGAGCTGATGTCCGCATTAATAGGGTCTTGAATGGTCATCCCCCACATTCAGGTAAACCTGCTCTAGGTTTGATGCTAGTAGCTGTACCGACGTGCTGGACCTAGGGGTAGCACAGGGCTAAAGAAATGCTGATCCTGGGATAGGAGGAAAAGCAAGCGCAGGATACGCACTCCCTCACCGACCCTCGATTGATCATCCATTTTTTCTGCATTCATTTGCCCAAACAGGCAGTGAGGTAGCATCCCCAAAGCAACATTGAAGCTGGAAATAGCATTCTTGCTGTGCAACTGGTTGGGCCTGGAGCCGCAGAGAGCTGCAGCGAGGGTTTTCTTTCGTTCCTCTCCCCGCATTTTTGAGGGGTCGGACTTGCAAGTACCTAGCTACAGGGAAAAGAATACATCCCAGTGAGATGAGCTGAATGGTAAGAAAATTCTCTCAAAGCACGGGGGAATTGGCCCGTTGTTGGTTAGCAATAGTTGATGTGGCGTTTGTTGCAGTAACTAACTTAGTTAACCCAGCGCCGCTAGCATGAGCTTAACCTGACGACTCTAAACTAACTAGTTAGTTGACGCACTTCGCGATAGCCAGGAGCACCATTGGTCGGCTTAAAAGACAAAAGCACAGTTGAGGGCTCCCGAGCTATTAGCAAACAGTGATCTCCCACCCTACTAGAAGCGACAACTTTTCTAGCCTGAAAATTTTGACCAAAAGCCCAAGATCCAAATCTAGACTAGACACGGCAATGTGCTGTGCTGAAGTAGGTGTGTAAATAGTCCGTAATGATTCTCCACCAAAACTTGAAAAAAAACTGTTATATTCTATATTCTAACCAAGATCTATCTATATTCATTTGATGCTTTCACTTAGCTTGTTGAGAAACTTATTAAATTGTTGCTGAAAGACCCTCTGCACGGTTGTCGTTTACGAAACGTAACTGGAGTCTCAAACGGCTTTCTCACCCGATAGCCTCCTGCGAGCCTGAATGCTCTTCTTCCCTTCTTCTTTCAAAGCATCGTCATCCGGCCTCTCCAAAGTTACCTGCGGCATCAGGAACACAGCAAGGAAGAACGCCAAGGCGGCCAGCCCCGCGCCGATTAGGAATATTATTCGGAACCCCTTCTGGTATGCGGGGACAAGAACGGACCGGACACGGACAGCCTCCGATTCCGGCAGGGTGGAAAGGAACGAACCAGGGCTCTTAAGTAGTTGACTGGTTTGCGATCTACTAAGGTTGAGAGGCGAAACAGACGATAGTAAGATGTTATGTATGATAGTTCCGGCGGCGGCAAGTCCTAGGGTTCCGCCGAGATTTCTAATAAAGCTGTAGAGACGTTGACATGTATTAAGTAACCGGCCTATGTGTATTTTAGTTTACTTCTCCACTCACTTTCTAAATGATGACACCACGGCCATATCACGCCGCTCGACGCCGGCTTGTATTGCAATGAGTGCTCTGGGAAAATTGATATTAACGCTCCACACATAGTAATTCCATAACTTGTTCACATTTTGTCACTACTTACGGTTGCAATGTATTCCCTAGACCAAACCCAGTTAATATTCCGTAGCCGATTTGTTTTCCAAGACCTGAGGATTGATTGAGCGTTGAGAATAGGCCAAGGCCCACTGCCCATATGACCCATCCAAGAAGGATGGGCTCTCGATAGCGGCCTACCCAGTGCACGACAAGGCCCGACAATGTGCTGCTAGCGGCTAATATAGATCAGTAACACGAGTAAAGAAAGTAGGGATCGATATATGGTTTAGCGGCGGGCCCTAGGGCCCCGACCACCTTTGAAGAATTCAAACGTACTCTGAGTTAACGTAATCGGAAGTAGCAACGAAGCAGCCTTGGTAGCGGAGTAGCCATATGCTGTCTGGTAAAATAGAGGAATGTAGTAGAACTGGACGAGGAAATTCCAGCCATTGATGAACATGGTTAGGCTGGCTCCATTAACAATACGAGATTTAAAAATATGCATCGGTACAAGAGGCGTAGATGTCCCCTTCCATTGCCATAAAACGAACACGGTCGAGAAAAAAAATCCGACAACCAATGTAGCGATGACGTGGACTGAGTTCCATGCATAATCACCCCCACTCCATATCAAACCCAGCAAAAGCACCGTTGTCCCGCCAAGGGCCAGTATAACACCGGTGAAATCTATAGCTCTCAGTTTCAACTTCCAGTCTCCTTCTACTTTTTTCAGGGGCATGAAGAAGATCACGCAGCCAGTAGTTAGTACTGTGATGGGTAAGTTGAGACGGAATATCCATCGCCACGAGCCAGGTGAGATGGATGCGAGGGAGCCGCCAATGACAGGTCCAATGCCATTCGCAAGGGCGACGGCAGCGCCTAGGATTCCTTGATACTTTCCTCGCTCTCGGAGGGGAACAGTATCACTGACTATCGCCTGGGCCACGGTCATTAACCCACCACTGCCAATGCCAGTGAAGGCTCGGAACACTATTAGCTGGATGGCAGACTGTGCGAGAGAGGATGCTAGGGATCCTATAAAACCGATCGCGAGGCCAATGTAGAGAATCACTTTGCGTGACCAGATGTCGGAAAAACGGCCATAGAGTAGCTGGAAAGATGTTGACGTTCTTTCGAGAAGAAATTGCAGTTATGTTAATAGATATCGTATTGCCTTGAAGGCAAGCAAACTAGATCAGCGAACGTACACAAAATACCCTGCGGCAATCCAGGACATTAGATCTCCGGCAGCCAGTTCATCTGAGATGATCGAAAGACTAGCTGCCAAAGTGGTTTGATCCATCAAAGCGAGCAAATCAACAGTGGCGCACGCCAGAAATATCTGAAGCTGGTTAGTGCAGCTCAAGTTGGTACACACGTTAAAGACATAAAACTCACCGTAATGATCGTACGCTTTGGGACGAAGTTTGTCTGTTCATTGAAAACATAAGGACTTTTCTCGACATTTCTAGCAGTCTCCCCGGCGTCTGACAGACCTGAGATTGATGGCTGTGTTGATCCCATGACAGGCGCGTCTTTGTCTAAATTTCCGTCCCCTGAATAGCCAGATAGCGAGAAAACAACAGATATTTGGGATACTTTGTACTAGTGAGGCAGGGAGAGAAGAGTAACGGCGCTCCAATTTCATGAACGTGGGAAATGATCACTAGAAGTGATTTTGCTTTAATCTCTTCTGTGAATAAGTAACGATTAACGCGAGGAACTTGCGGACGATCGCACCCCAACTGGGTTGTGCAACAGGTCTGGTAGTTAAGGTTTGATGAAAGAGAGTATCAAGGTACCTGCCTATTTATTTGCTTGGAAAATGCCGCGCAGGAGCCAGCGAAATCGGGCCGAACAGGAACTGCGACCCGATCTATATCATTCAAGGTACCCGTGAAAGGACATTTTCCACAAAGGTACTTTATTGTACACAATAACGTCCCTAACATCGTAATGTCATATCACATGTACCTGAGTATACAATTTCTATCTGTTTGGATAGGAAGGAGATGCAGTACTCAAAGATAACAGAAGAGAACCTTGTGAGCTACCCCTGTGGGTCTGTCTATAGAGAGAAACGACAGACTAGGGCAAAATGCGAAATTATGGGGAACAAAGACCTTACTTACCTGGCAGATTGACAATTCAAGGAGGCCGTAAAAACCCGACAACGCTTCCTGAATTCAAGAGAACTGTCCAAGTTATGTCATGATTGGGCCAGATATTATTGTACCCCTGGTTTTGAGATATGCGAATGCCCAATTGCAAGTACACGTATGCAACAGCCGTGGAACAGGGATGACTACACTGAAGGTGAATGGGCGACGGCTCATATTGTATTGTATAAATGTCCAGGCTCGTGGCCGCTCTCTTCCAATGGTCCTGCCTGCCATCATCTTCTGAAGAAAACATCCCGCTCGGTGCCTATTTCTTTGCTGCTTGAAAATCTTGTCAAACATAAAATGGCGAACCCAAACATTTTGAACGTATATTCCGGGCCCGATGCTCTGAAGAAATACTTCAACCCCGATTTCCAACCTCCACTTCCACTTGTAGAAGTTCCAGAGGCCCTGAACCCCTTCTATCAAGATGGAGTACGGATATATGCAAAGATGATGACAATGCACCCCGCGAACAACGTGAAGGCGATACCAGGTTCGTATTTCCGCAGGAGTGCACTCCTGAAGAAGGATACATGAAGCTAATTGTGCCGGTGTTTTGCTTTTTAGCAATGAATATGCTCGAATCCAGTGTTGTGCCAGGGAAAACGAAAACAATTATTGAATACAGCTCTGGCTCGACAGTAATTTCGATGGCAATGATCGCAAGGATATGCCACAATATCAGCGATGTCAGGGCATATCTCAGCAATAAAACGAGCTACGCAAAGTTGAGGTTGATGCAATTCTTCGGGCTCGACATCACCCTCTTCGGGGGGCCTTCGCAGCCTAACCCACATGACGAACGCGGCGGGATCCAGGGCGCAAGAAGGATGGCAATTGTCTCTGATGAAATTGTCAACCCAAATCAGTACGAAAATGAGAATAACTGGAAAGCACATGTCCGTTGGACAGGGCCGCAGATTCTTAAGCAGCTCCCTGAAATAAAGGTTATTTGCGCTGGTATGGGCACATCGGGCACGATGACAGGAATCGGAACATATCTGAAGCAGGCAAAGCCTTCTGTCTTCAGGCTTGGGGTTTGCACAGCTCCGGGTGACCGAGTTCCAGGCCCTAGATCCCATTCTCTTCTCGAACCTGTTCAGTTCCCGTGGAAAAAGGCCATAGATGCAATTGAAGAAGTAGGATCGCCTGAAGCTTATTCGCTGTCTCTCGAAATGTGCAGGCAGGGGCTGGTTTGCGGCCCATCGTCCGGGTTCAACTTAAGAGGGCTTGTTCAAATGTTGGGCAAGCGCAAATCGGCTGGGACTTTGCAAGATCTAGCGGGCCCTGATGGTTTAATTCAATGCGTTTTCTTGTGTTGCGATCTGCCATACCAGTATATCGACGAGTATTTCCAGAAATTAGGACCGGAGAAATTCCATCCTATACATAACCAGGTGAGTCGAAATAAATAATAAATGTCGCCATCACTTAATCCGCTGCAAATTGGACTTGACACTAATAGATCACCAGAATTTGATCAAGGCTGATAGATACCGCTATGATGACAGCTGGGAACGGCTTCCAAGCGACCTTCTTCCCCACTTCTACGAGCCTCCTGAGGCTGTGAAAATGTACTGCTGGACTGCCATCAGGGCAAAGCCAAAGACTTACATAGTTGACCTGCGGAAGAAAGCCGACTATGAAAGCTGGCATGTGCCGGATGCTATAAACATCCCGCTCAGCAGCTTGACTTCAGCGGAGCCCAGCCCGTTCGCAGATGTGAAAGTGCTGGAAGCACAATGGCTGGAACTGGAGGATATCTTCAGCCAGGTCAATAATTCCTCTAACTTTAATGACCAGCGGGTTCTTGTCCTGTGCTACAACGGAGATACAGCACGGGTTGCAACCAGTATTCTGCGAGCCAAATCAGTCGAGGCAGACTGTGTTCGTGGTGGTTATCAGGCCATTAACGCCATTGCGCCAGGAGGCTTTCCAGGCGAACGAGAATCGCGGTTAATTTCGCCGCGACAGGATATCCTTGTGTAAAAGCAAGGATGCGGTGTAACTAACCATCCATAAAAAGAGCTTGTGTTTTCCGTATTATAGCCGCTTGCGAGAAGGGAGGGGAGATGGAAGCGGGTCATGTGATCCTGTAGGTAATTCACGTGATCCCTTCATACTCCTTTGTGTTGTTTATTTGGTTTTCTTCTCCTCTGTGCTATTGTAAATAAGAGATCTTAGCAATAACATGGAATAGTTGTTTTGAATTCTTCGGGTTATTTTCAATTGGGTCCTTGAAGTCACTCACTTGTAACTAGAATTGAACCCTTGCACACTCGTCTTGTCTAAAAGGGACAGAACATGAACCAAATGACAACAAGCTGGCTATCAAAAGCACGCGAACATCTTCGTTGTGGTTAAGCAACACAACACGCTGTCCAAGCCTTGGAATGGGAGGTTATTTACGGAGTACCTAAGACGGTAGAGACGTGAATGTACCCTCTATTACAGAGTACGTGGCCAGGAAATATAATGATAATGGAAAACTAGTTAATTGTACTAATAATAACCACAATAAAAAGATCATAGGGTAACTAGTTAACTAGTTACATCAGCACACCAAAACAATCTTGGCTCTGAGTTAACATTTCCCCCAATCAACCAGAAGTCAATCCCACGTCCCCAGCTCAATTTGCCATCCGATCACCATTCCCGGGGTCCTTCGCAGCTCTAGAAAAGCACGTTGTCAGCGAGAGGCAATGGCACAAGGAGTTACCCGATCGAACGTTGCAAAGCTACTTAAGGGACATGGAAATCCTCAGGGCATAAACTTACTCGCAGCTGTGGGTATGGGCCTCCACAATCAAAGAAGCATTGCATTCTAGCTTGATTTAAGCACTTGCACTCCTAATGATCGTTCTCTGTCAGGTAAATTTTCCCTTATCTTGTTGATTGATTCATGCCTCAGACTACTCATGTGGGAATAGGAGTTGAATATACCTCTGCCCAGGTTGCTTTGGGGCAGGAGACCTTGGGGCATGCGCAGTCCTGTTGTTCCGTCGGGAGAGCGAAAACGGCCGGCAAGATGGCCAAACAGAGGGTGATGAACTTCATAGTTGGCGAGAGGGGATTGTTCTTTCTGACGGATAAATGTTGCTTGCGTAGACCTCGATCAGATACGTCACTTGGATGTATATCAAGATTGAAACTCTGACACAACTCGAGCGCGCGATTGAGGGTCATATAAATAGAGAAGACCATCAGGACCGGCGCCGCTAGATGACAGGAACCATTGTCTCTTCACATTCCTCCATGCACCATGATGGGATACAATGCAGAAGCACCCTGGTGCGTCTACTGAGACAAAGTAAAATTGAACAATGAGAAGCAGCAGTGTATTTTTCTTTTCTGCGACCGACATTTTAGCCAACTTTGGCTTTGAGTAGAGGAAGAACCCAAGCGCCGGGTGCGCATCGCATGCTGAGATCCAGAAAAAAGCGCAACCTATGGAGTTCTTCGTGAAGCCTGGCTAGATGCAGCGGATGCATCCGCGAATTCGGAGAACAACGTTCATTGTGAGGAAAATGCGAAAGAAAATAATCGCTACTTTGGATGTGCCGGATGCGTACAGCAGTCCTCCAGGAATTTTAATAATGAAATCTGTATGTGCTGGCATGATTGCGAAATTGGGGACACAGTTGCTAGCTCCCATGGTTGTTCAATAATGACCAAGGAGGGAGACATATTGCTTGAGGACAGGGTCAATCGCGAGGTTGAAATGCCTTGTGAAATTCATCATATGCTGAGTTCTTTGTGGCTATACTATAGACACATACATCAATGGGTGTTTCCTCATAGGAAACAAAGCTATCCAGGTCTCACCATCAGACCCATGGGGTGAAACCGACTCTCCGAAGCCAACCAGCCCTATGCTGTTGAGGAATTTTGTGCCAGAGTTGGGCCTGGACACGGCATCGTTGATTGTGCAGGGGGGAAGGGCAAAATTCAGACTCCCATTCAGATTCAGGTGAGAAAATGAAACCAAAGAGATTCCTGTGCTGCTTAGCATTCACTAAATAAGATGACTAGCGGGGTGTCACAGGTCGGTCAGAATATGGAGTCAGATGTGAATATGGAGTATTGCAGCATCAATGAGAAAGATTAGGCTGGCCTCTGCACCATCTATAATAGCAGGCCCCAAGTCAGGATGTTGTGAGGAAGTTGAGGAACAAATAAATGCTTGTTACTCCGAGCCTGATCACCCACACTGACTCCAGCCCTCCTCACTCTTAACTTAGCATTGTCCTTTGCAGGGTGCAAATCTAGGCCCTGGAAAGAAAGACTTTGTGAATAGAGTTGCTGCATTGACATATATTATTGAGCATATCTTGTAATGCCTAAAGACCAACAAGGGTGCCTGGCCTGATAATGACAATGATGAACCCTCCAACAACCTGAGACTGACGTGCAAAACCAGGTTTCCATCTCAAAGCTCTCATTTTACAATACAGGGGTATCCGATCTTACGCAGTATTAATCCCCAAATTTGCCAATAATGAAATGATTCCGTGTGGGCATAGGGTAATATTGCTGCGTGGTATTTCAGCTTCCCCTCTCGCTCGTAAAACAATTTAAATGAGGTACGGACAGGGACAGGACGGGGGCTCTCTTCTTCTTCTCTGATACGAGGTCGTTTCAAGTTTGCTCAGTCCTCAGCGTTCTGGACCGACAGAGTGGAGTCAATGCCTCCATGAGCTTAAATGTCTGGTATCAAAATCTCACTGCTGGAGAGAAAGTTTCCAACCGATGGGGGAGTTGGTGAAGCCATCAAGAGAAACACTGAATATATTGCACATGAGAGTTGGATTGCTGGCCGCAGACAAACAGAGGAGGATCCTCTCAAAAGTTATAATAATTAACACTAAGAAATTTAAGTTGTAACTTACGTTAGCTCCACTCTATTAGTTAACTACCGGCATAAAAGTATTTCCATTTCCTCTCTTAACCAGAGTGTTTTAAGGGGCTTAATGCCTGTTGCACCTGAATAAACCAGCTACAGTTTAACTAAAGCTAGCCTAAGTCTCAGACTGCTCTGGAATGAAGAATCCTTGAATGGTAACAGAGCTACACACTTATTAAATTCTTATTTAGTGCTAATCATAATTTTGAAAGGATCCTCTGAACATATTCTGATTAGGCCTAACTATCTATCTACTCCGTACTCGCAGCAACAAGAAGTTAAAAAGGAAACAGACGCAGAAAAAAAGTAACCCGTATCTTCAACATCTTCATCAGCCTCCAACCGCCCAAAAATCAGAATTGTTGATCGTCGTCTTTGAAGAAACACGAAGCGGCTCCTAGCATCGCGATGCGGCAAAGCCAAAAAAGGGATAGGAGCTTTACAAGCCACCTCACCTCCTTGACTCTTTGAACTAACCATTCAGGAGCCGGAGAACGGCTTTGGCAAACCAACGAAACACTACAAAGTCTTCGAACTCCAAAGCCTTGGTGTGGTTACAACCCTGCTGTCCAGATCTCGTGTTCTATAAATATCGACTGCCAGCAGCTTCTTAGAACAGTCTATGCGCAGATTGCGATCATCTCCAAAAACTTTCACCGCAAAACATGGGGAAGTATTTCCTGCAGTTGCGGCTTAGCCAGGCTTGACACATGGGAGTTTCCCCCACCCCTTCGGGCTTCTTAGTGCAAGGGGCCGGGGAAGGCTTTTTTTTCTCTTGCCGCTCTGCATGATTGGCTTGAGGGCCTCAAGAACGGATGAAGATCTCGAGTGTCTGTCCCGTTTCGTAGCGTGGTTCTGGTCTATTTGGCCCAACAATGCAACAATGCCTCGTTTCCAACAAAAGAAATACGGACGATTTCAGCTGGCAAGAGTCGGTTTGGACGAGGGCTTCTTGAGACTTAGAGGTCGCTGATTCGCGAACTTCTTTCAACATCGTCCATTGCCAAGGTAGTCTGTATGAGGAAGAAGCGTATACTCCAGCCTTGGAGAAAGCTTGGCATCAATGGCAGCATCTCACTACTTCGTATTTGGGGGAAGATGGATGAGCCTCAGGGGGCACAGATAGCATGGGGATGAGGCTGAGAGGCGCTGTCCATCTTGGGGCTCTAAAGCATCCATCACAGATATAAAAGAGCCATCGATGACCACAATTCTTCTGCCCTCATCACATCCAAAGGAGCAGCCACCAACAACAAACCCCTTCAACAACGCGACAACGGCGGAGTACTCCGACCGCGAGTTATCCTCCCTTATTATCTCTTTGGCCCCAGTTAATTCTCCCGATTACATCAAAGAGTAGGAGTTTCGCGCCGAGAATAAGGAAAGATGAGATACCTTATCCCACTCCTCGCCCTGACGGCCTCCTGCACCGCCCTATCCGCCAAAACAAGGCGATGGGAGCAGTGCAGCATCGAAGGCAAAGAAGGACACTGCATGCCCCCAACCGAATGTAAGGCATTGAATGGCGTCTCCGTCGCCGGCGACGGGTGCAAACACTCCCCAAATGGCTGGCAATGCTGCACAGCTGAACTCCCCCTTCTGAAGCCCAGCATGGCCGACGACAACGACGCCGACATCGACGCTGACGATGACAACGACAACGGCAGCCTTGCCAAACGCGCACCCCGCTCCTGCAACGCCCGCGGCGTCCGCGGCGTCTGTATCAAGAAGTCCGCCTGCAAAGGCGTCGCAACCCCCGGCGCAGGAACCCGAAACGACCCCTGGACCTGCCCGCGCGACCCCAACGACGTATGGTGCTGCACCAAGAAACCGCCGCCGCCCCCAAGGGGCCGGCGCTGCAGCGCCCGCGGCGTCCCCGGCATCTGCATGAAGAAGTCCGCCTGCAAGGGCTACGCGACGCCCGGCGCGGGCACGTCGAAGGACCCCTGGACGTGTCCCAACGATCCGAACGACGTGATGTGCTGCACGACCAAGAAGCCGCCGCCACCGCCGGCAGCGCCGCCCGTTAGGATCCCCGAGAGCCGATGCAAGCGCCATGTGATCGATGCTGGGTATAAGATCCTGGGTGCGAATCCGGGCAAGGTGCGGTCTGTGATTTGCTACGGGAAGCGGTCGAATAAGTCGGAGCATCCGCTGGGGTTGGCGTTGGATTTG